AAAATCACCCCCCCCCTTCCCCCCCGGCCCAATCGCCAAGCAAGAGGAAGGATTTCGCGCCTTCCTCAAAACGCGGTTGCGCCGCGAAAGAAGAGGGTGACGGGAAATGTAGTTCAGTCGCCCGCGTGATCAAAGGGTGACGTGAGGCTGACGTCTTGCCGTTGACGACCTGTTTCCCCGCCCTTTTCTTCGCCCACGTTGGGGAAAGGGACGTGTCATCAGCTGGTGAGGGGAGCTGTCTTAGGGCCCGGCTCCCGTTGAGGAGGAGGAGGAGGATGCAGCTCCCGGGGGCGCCCCCTCCCCTGAGCGTGCCTTTGACGGACGTGGTAAGTGAGGGGGGGGCTCTTTTTTCCTCCGCTGTCCTTGGAATGAGGAAGGGGTTGGAGAGCCTCTTCTTCGTAGCAAGAGAGGGAGGGATAGGGAGCCACCTGGAAGGCCGCCGCAAGGATGCTCTGCCCCCAAAGCCCGGAGGAGGATGCAGCTCCCGGGGGCGCCCCCTCCCCTGAGCGTGCCTTTGACGGACGTGGTAAGTGAGGGGGGGGCTCTTTTTTCCTCCGCTGTCCTTGGAATGAGGAAGGGGTTGGAGAGCCTCTTCTTCGTAGCAAGAGAGGGAGGGATAGGGAGCCACCTGGAAGGCCGCCGCAAGGATGCTCTGCCCCCAAAGCCCTCATCGCCCATCAGGGATGTGATTTAATTTGGGTCGGGATATTGTAGGCGGGCCGCTGTGGAGGTCTCTGAGGGCCGTGTACCTTTCCCTTCAGTCATCGCCTCTGGTCGTGCCTCTTTTCCTGCACCCACCAGCACCCTTTCTCCACGGAGGGAGGGCAGCGGGGCCCTGCTTTGGAGCTCCCCTTCCTCAGGGCGGTCAGGAACCGCCTTTGCCAGAGCAGGCTCTTTTCCTTTGTGTGCCTCAGCGGGTTAGTTTCACGTCCAAGTTAACACGAGCAAGCCTCGAAGGCACTCACAAGGGTAGGGCAAGGAGGGGGTGAAAACTTTGTTAGACCACCTTCCCGTTTGTTGAACAAGAATATGAGCTCAGAAACCCAGTCCAGATAGGTGCCCCTCAGATAAATACTGGTTGTCCGTAAAGAGAGGGTTTTTTTCCCCCTGTCTCCCTCGAATTGGCTCTGGAGATCTTGACCCTCGTCCTACTATATGAGAGACATAGCATATCCTTGACATATATGTATAATTTACAATTATCAGAGGCGGAAAAGGACTAATAATAATAAAAGATGTGAAACATTAGAAATGCCCTTATGTTATTAAATTGTGCAGTTCTGGATTAAAGCTTATTTGAAACTGGCAAGGCCAAGTGATCATCAGAGTTAGTGCCAGCCTTTATTTCATGCTGCAGCTCTTCTCCGTAAAGACTTAAACAGTAACTAAGGACTTGTCTTCTTGTTGTTTAGTCATTAAGTCGTGTCCGACTCTTCATGACCTCATGGACCAGACCACGCCAGGCTCTCCTGTCTTCCACTGCCTCCCGGAGTTGGGTCAAATTCATGTTGACACCTAAGGGCTTGTCTAGGCAAAGCCTTTGTTCTTGTGGAAGTACCGGGTTCTATATTGATTTAAGTGGTATTTTTCTTGCCACTTACACAATGCAAAGTTTGTCTCAATTTATGTATTGCGTAGTTTTCCACTCTTTTTTAAAACAGTATACTGTAACAATAAGGGTTCCCCTCCCCAGGAATACTTTGTACCAGGGCAGACTTCAAAACAAACAAGAAACCAACCAAAGAAGCTCATTTATGAAGCATTTCTGCCAAAGTTTTTAAAAAGAAATGCTGATTTCTCAAGAAAGCATAAGTGGTAGTGGTTCACTGAAGTGAGGCTGCCAGTTAGAAGGTTTCAACTAGTGCTAAACTACTGCTCAAAAAGAATCAAATCAATCCAGCAGGGAGGTTGGTTTAATAAACATTTCTGAAATAGTTTTCTATAAAGATTTTATTTTTAAATGGTCTTTATTTCTTAAAGGGGATTTAAAACTTTTTTTAATACTGATCCTATAAAAGCCACACTTATTTGGCAGCAAGCAGCAGAAAGTGGGGAGGGGGGATAGCATAAATGCTTTCTGTGGAGGAGGCCTAAGTTAGAAGACAGAATAAAGACAGAATATTACTTTCTGCAGAATATGGAGACTGGAAAACTTGGACTTACACTTTCCATACAGAATTCCCAATAGCTGAGGAGCATCAGTTTGGGGAAGATTGTATTTATGGAGCAAACGTTTGAATGTGTGTAACATCTTGCCAAGCACAAATATTTTTACTTGAATACAAGGCAGATTTGTTTTCTTTAAGATGCTCAAATTCTCAAATGACTTCCTGTTATGTCTTTTATTTTCAATTGCCCCATTGCAAGGCTGAATCAGAGAATTATTTTGTCAAACTAGTCAGTTCATGTATATGTTCATGGTAATCATACAAATGAATTTTATCTACAAGTCTGTGCCCAGATATGTAATAACAAGACTAATGATATCTTCGCCAATTAGGCTGGTAAGCCTGTGAAATTAATAGAAACAAAATAAAATCCAATGCACATTGATACACAATGTATCGTTGATCTTGGTTGTCTTGAAATCTAGGTAGGATCAAACTGAAAAGCTGAGAACTAAGCAGCTACTTGGGAAATAAGCCCACTAAGCATAAAATGCAAAACTAACAGCATAATTTTATATATACTTGCTGAGAATTCCCATTGAATTCATTTGAACTTCCTTGTTTCTTTTTATATGGGGGCATGGATTTAGGATTGTACTTAATGGTTTCCATAATATATTTACTCAGAAATATTTGAAATAATGGCACTGTTTCCAAGTACATATCTACATGGTTAGATAGTACTAGAAGTTCACTTGTCTTTCATCAGTGCCAATCTCCTCCTCCTCGAAGTCAACATCATATTTGCATTTGCATTTCTTTGGGGAAATATGGGTATGTTACTGTCATTCTATACACAGGGAATTTGATGCATTAACAATATACACTTTGATACACAGAGCATAAGTGTTACTGTCATTCTATACACAGTATAGAATGACAGTAACACACCCCTGTCATTCTATACACAATATACACTTTGATACACAGAGCATAAAAAAGAATGGCGGTTCCTTGTACATGATGAAAGTTCTATAAGCCACACTTCTGTGATAAGTTAACAAGGACTTAACCAAAGCAGGAGTAATTCAGCATTGTCTTTTCTTCAAACAGGTAATTGTAGAGACTATGGACATTATTTTTAGAATAAGAGGAGGTCTGGATCTGGCATTCCAATTGGCTACAACTGATGGTATGTCTCCTTAAATACTACACATTGTATTACAGTATCAGTGATATATTTATAGAAGACATCAACTGACATAATTGACAAAATTATTCAAATTAACCAAAGTAAATGTGGTTACAATATGCATAATCATATTTAAAATGTGTTTACAGGATGATGATGATTATCAATATTATTATTTGTGGCAAGTCTGGAAATGTCTATCATTATCATTATTATTATTTGTGGCAAGTCTGGAAATGTGTTATTCAAGGGAATGTTTAAAACTGGATCCCAGTACTTGGATAGGAGCAACAGTGAATTCTTCTGTACATGAAACAACTGAGAGAGATTATCCGGAGTTCTGGGGTTCAGTGTCACTAGTATGCGGAGACACCCAACTCTACTTCTCCTTGCCACCTAAATCCAGATCAGTGTTTGGTATCAGTAATGGATTAGATGAGAGTGAATAAACTGAAACGTAATCCAGACGAGACAGAGGGTGTTCTGATTAGTCAAAAGGCAGATCAAGGAATAGGGTGCTGAATGGGATTACACTCCCATTGAAAAAATAGTTTCACAGTTTGGGGGTACTGCTGGATTAATCCCTGAGCCTAGATGCCCAGGTCTTGGCAGTGGCCAGGAGTGCATTTGAACAGTTAAAACTACTGTGCCAGCTACGTTCATTTCTTGAGAGATATGATCTGGCCATTGTGACACACCCTCTAGTTACTTCCTGGGTGGATTACTGTAATGTGTTCTGTGTGGAGCTTACTGATGGAAAGTGTCAGAAAATTCCAGTTGGTCTAAAATGCAGCAGCCAGATTACTGACTGGGGCTGATTACAGGGATCACATAACTCCCCTGTTCCACTGACTGCCGATCCATTTCTGGGCACAGAAAATGCTAGTTTTAACCTATAAACTTCTAAATGGCCTGGGCCCAAGCTATCTCAAAGACTGTGTCTCCCATTATGAGTTGGCTGGGATGTTAAGATCATCTGGATTCTCCCATACAGAAGGGGACAGCCTTCTGTGTTGCTGCTCCCAGACTTTGGAACTCCCTCCCATAGGAGGCCAGACTGGCCCCATCTTTGCTGTCTGTTGCAAAGGCCTTTCTCTTCAGGCAAGCCTTCCCTCAATAACTAGCTGCCTGTGTGTGATTTTTGGATGGATTGTTAGTAGAGATGGGGGTATTTGTATACAAATACAAATATCCCCGCACAGCTAGACTTAATGAGGGGCTGGCCCCTGCAGCTGGCCCATCCACTCACTTTGGTGGTGGTGGCGGCGGCAGCCTCGCCCATCCTTCCAATTGCTCCTGCATCTCCACTCTCTTCCTACTTGGCTAGTAACTCAGCAGCCATGCAGGGAGACTTGTCCTCCCTCTCACTGCTTGGAGTGGCCAGGCGAGCAGAAAGAGAGCAGAGCTCTGGGAGTGATTGGAAGGATGAGTGAGGCTGCCACTGCTGCCAGACACGTAAGTGGATGGGCCAGCCACAGGGCCTGGCCCATCATTAAGTCCAGCTGTGCGAGTATATTTGTATTAATATACGAATACCCCCATGTCTAATTGTTATGCATTACTGCTTTGACTGGATTTTTAGTACTACTTTGTGTTTTCCATTTTTGTTTTTTTTGCATTTCTCAGAGTGTCATTTGTTTTATTAATATTTGTATAACTATTGTTCTTAGCTTTAATATTGCCTTTTAATTATGTAAGATGCTTCTTTATAATAATTGTTCTGAGCTTTAAATGTTGTCTTTTAATGATGTTAACCACTGTTGTATACTCACTATTTTCAACTTTAAATATTGTCTTTCAATGTTGTAAGCTGCCTTGAGTCTTTGTCAAGGAGAAAGGTGAGGTAAAAATGTGTTAAATAAATAAAATAAGTAAATATTTGTATTGGCTTTTGTTGCATCATTTAGGGATTATAAAGTGCTGCTTGCTAGGTGGAATAGCAGCATGGAAGAGAAAGCCATTTAAGGCTCTAAAGGAAGCATCCTAACAATTACTTCTATAATATATTAACTAGAAAAATAGTACAAGCCTGTGCCTATGTTTAGCAGGTGATTCACCTAGTAATTGTATGGAGCTAGATAACTTTGCCCTGCTTTCCAAATGTAAAATGCCACAGGGTGGATAGCAGAGCATATAGTTTGCGTGTAGAAAATCCCAGAATCAGTTTCTGACATTTCCAGTTTTAGAAAGCAGGTTGGTGGAAATGACTTTTGCTTTTATCATGAAGAGCAAAGAACTGTAGATGCACAAATGTTCTAACGTGTTATTTTGCTAAACAAGTTGCATTAAAATATGACAAGTATAGATTGCAACTATTAAGGCCAGTTGACTTGAAATTATTACCAAAAGCAGAGGAGATCCCAAGCAAGCAGGCTTAAGAATATAGTGGATAACTCTGTAATAATCAAAACTCTACTTTTGTGTCATATATTCAAATATCAGGTCCTTTTTTTGTAATTGTAGGTAACTATTGTATAGTAGGAACATTTCCAAATAAGTGCAACATATTTTTGTTTGTCATTAGCGATGCTGATAAAAAGTATATATACTAGAACGGTCTTTTACATGTTTAGTCTGAAGTATAGCTTGGAAACTACTTTTTTTGCACTCTACTACCCCAGAATCCCAGTTACTGGCCAAGCTGGCCAAGAGATTATGGGATTTGTGGTTCAATATTCCCAAGCTTTACTCTAAATCAAGACCCACTTTGTTTAATGCAACATATTCCTTTGGAAATATGTCTAGAATTACAACTCAAAATATTAGATCACGTTTAGATAACTTAGCACTTTTCCCAGGCGACATATTCCATTATGTAAGTATTCTTTATTTGCATTAGCCATATACCTTTGCAGGTAGTACATAAAAAGTTAGTGTGATTGTCGCACACACCCAGTTCCCCTGTTTGTTCTTCCACACAACCCAGGTTCACTTTCGGGTATGACATTTACTTTTCAACTCTTTTTGCTGCCACCAGAGGATTTATTCCTCACTATATCAAATATGACTCTTAAATCACAGTTATCCAATATAACAATGTTTACTTGTGTGGTTATAAGTAAATCGTATAAAGTGAATCATGGATGGTCTTATTTTATTCATTCAATAAACTGTGCTTTGACAATATTTATATTTGCTTATGAAGAATCATTTTAATCAAGGTATTTATTCATTTCCTATCTTATTCTCTATCTCTCTATTACTCTTCTCTAACACATTTCTGGTCTTAACTACCTAAACTGCTTCTATCCAACTGAAGTCCCTAACTGAAGTCCCTAACTCTGATCTTTAACTGATCTCCATTCTCCTCTTATATTTCCTTGGTCTCCCCTTCTGTTCAACCATTGGTTGCTAAATCAGGGTTCCATTGTGATGGACAGGAGTGGTTACTGACCTGTCCATCACAGTGATATAAAACCAACATACTTAAATCAAGAAGATAAATGCATAATAATCAAATTTACATTGATACTCTGAAAAATTAAACAGGTAAATGCAAAGAATTACAGTTTTGAAGCCATTTTTAATCTTATTTTAATTACTGCTGCTAAAACCTTTGCAGATTCACTCCATTGCTTTTCTGCCCCTGTAGTTAGGAAGTTTTAAAATGCTTAAATGTTCTTCACTTTAGATGAAGCCACTGCCTTCTTAGCAGTGGATGGAGCGAGCAATTGTACACTTTTTTTCCAAGGTCCTTCTGAGTAATTAAAGTAATTAAACTTTTTCCTTGCTCTGCCCATCCTTTTAATCTTCTTTTCTCCTTATATTTTAGATTCCTCAACAAAAGAAGCATTAAAATATGTTTTCAGTGACCTTTCAACCAAACTGGCTTCAGATGTACTGGTTTTTAGAATCTGCCATAGCCCAGTGTACTTATGGCCAAATAGTGGAAAAAACTCAGTTGCAACTGAGCTTTCAGATGACTCTCCTTGTAAGGAGATATTACGGTTTATCCAGTGAGTACAGTTTGATGGAAAAAATAACGAGTGCTGTTGAGGACTTTGGTAGTACAATCATTCTTAAAGCTGGATTTATTACTGTTTTCCAGATTTGACCAGGAAGATGAGGCTAAACGCAGGTTTTCAAAAAAGAAAGATAAAAAGTTTCAGGAACAAGTATGTATGCCTTTTATTGCCATAGTTTTGTAGACCTGGATAAGAAAAGGAGAGCTATTTAAATTATACATGATACACTGGTACCTCGACTTATGAACTTAACCCGTATTGGAATGGCGTTCGTACGTCAAAAAGATCGTAAGTTGAGGCAAAATTTCCCATAGGAATGCATTGAAAAACATTTAATCTGTTCCGGCTGTTTTTCGTTCTTATGTTGAGGCGCTGTTCACAAGTAGAGGCATTAGTTCCCATAGGAACTAATGCAAAGCTAGTTAATCTGTACTCTACCACTAGGGGGAGATTTTTTTTTTCTTCTTTTGACCTAAGATGAACTTAGGTCAAAAAAAGGGCAGGAAAGTATTTTTTTATTCCTAAGTCGAGGCTCTGTTTGCAACTCGAAGCAAAATTTTGCGAACGGAGCCCTTTGTAACTCGAAATATTCAAAAGTAGAGATGTTCGTAAGTCGAGGTACTACTGTATCATCTTCACAATACATTTATCCATTTGGCACAAATGAAGAAGCTGACATGTAAGAAATAATTCTCAGAATTGAATGTGCAGTTCATATCTAAATCCTAACATTTTCCCCTACACTCTAAGATTGGAGTAATGACCTGAAGTCCAGATACATTAATGCACTGATACAGTAGTCAGTCAGTCCCCTAATTTGTGATTAGTCTTTAAGCCAAAGTAGCTGTTATATTAGATATAATTTTTGTTTAACAAGCAGCATCAAGACCACCTAACATGGGTTGAAGCTATAGTGTGGAGGATGTTAACACTTTCCCTGTGTGCTATTTTTCTGATCTAAATTTCTCACAACAATTTTTACTTGTTCCATAGGGAAACCATAGCAGATTCAGATGGTAGTAGACTTGATCTTTGCCTAAAAGCTGAGAAGAAAGAATTGATTACAAATTTAGTAATAGCAGCTAAATTAATAATAGCAAAGAATTGGAAAGTTAAGTGTAATCTTCAGTTAAATGATTGGTATAACGAAGTATGGAATATAGCTATCAATTATAAATTGACATGTACTATCAAAGTAAGAAAATGATTGTTAAATAAGAATGTATTTAGAGATACAGTGTATTGGGAGAATTTATTTATTTTGTACTAGTAAAGGGGGAAAGGTTGGGTACCTTCTAAAGAGTCAGTGTATTTTTGGAAGCAGAATGGAGCTCCATAAAAGGGAAAAAATAGAATATCTCTATTGGTTCCGGTTGTGGAGAGCACATTGAGTGTATGTATGTTTTTTTTTAGTTTTGTTTCGTATGTAATTAAAAATAAAAAGATTCACATTGTACAACCTTTAAGCCTTTATTATTTGCAGCAGCCTATAGTAAACATAGATCTTATGCTGGAAATGACAACTTCATTGGAGGCCCGGGCACCAGTCATTGAAAAGGAGAACAAGGAGCATCACTACATTAGCATGACTTTGCCAGTTGATGCTGTTGTCTCTGTGTCTCCAGAAGAAATGTGGCGGAAGTAAGTCATATAGGATGTACTTATCTGTTTTCTATATCTTCTATTCTGTTACAACATGCATCACAGTTCTCTCTGGTGAGAGATCTCAAGGTGTAATATTTACCTGACCTTGATCTACTTTGAAATGTGGACATAGGAGTTTTATGGTATTTTGTAGTGTTGATATTTACCGGTACCTACAAATATACTAGTGACCCACCAGAATGTAAGTGGATAGACTGGGACATAGGAAACATGAGTTCAAATCCATACTTGGCCATAAAAGATTATTGAAGGGTAGCACAGACAAAAACACCTTGTATATTTCACATACATCAGAAACCCTACTATGTTTATTGCAAGTCCAAATCACTTGACTGCACATAACACATATGTGACGATTATCCCATGTCACCCCTATCACTCATATTCAAGATCTCATGTGCATGAACCTATGAGAGGAGTGGAGGGTCGGAATCAGCGGATATAAGAAGTTTTGGCAGAAGAGATGAGGGGGGAGATATAGAATTTGCAGAGAGAAAGAGAGAGATAGGGAGATAGTGAGAACAGATACTAATAGAGATAAGCTGGTCAAGATAAATAGATAGACCAGGTGGTGTTTGGTTATGTGGCAAGCTATATGGCATTTTAATGATTTGATTGTATGCATTGAATAAAGAACATCTGTGATTCTGATTAAATTTAATACACTTCAGTAAATAAGTTCTATTGGCAGTAACCAGACAGTGTCTGACTAAAGTTCTTTATATATTGTGGATAAAGGAAATCCACTGGTGGCAGTGAGGAAAAGAGAAAACGTCACAATTGGTATCTGCTGGTGCGATGACATAGTGTGAGCTCTTTGTTTAGGGAAACAAGCAGGGTAAACATCACAAGTGGTGGCAGCGGTGGGATACAAAAAGATTCCAGTAAAGCCAAGTTTAAAGCGATTTTTTCTGAGTCAAGAGTGCCTTTTAGTCAAAGGTCTGTAGTGAAGAAGTGGGTGACTCGCTAGAACTTTTGTGGAAAAGCTTAGTGGCGGGGCTTCTGAATGCAGATCTTGGGGGGGACTAAAGATAGGGAACGACTCTGAGGGAAAAATTCTGTTTGAGGGTACCTCAGGATTTGAACGGATCTAGTGGGCTAGCTTAGAATCTAAGGCTCCGAGAGTTAAGGGAGCGCTTGTGGAGTATTTTGTAGTGTTGATATTTACCTACAAATATACTAGTGACCCACTGTAATGTAAGTGGATAGACTGGGACATAGGAAACATGAGTTCAAATCCATACTTGGCCATAAAAGATTATTGAAGGGTAGCACAGACAAAAACACCTTGTATATTTCACATACATTAGAAACCTTGCTAGGGTTGTTGTAAATCCAAATCACTTGACTGCACATAACACATACACACACAAAGATATAGGCTGAGCAAATGTGGGGGTGTTATAATAAGTACTTCAACAGATATCCTGAAGTTTACTTCTTCCATATTGGCATCCTAAGATGCTTCAGAAATACATGAGCTGTTTGTTCATTTCCATGCACAGCTAACCAGTATATGGAGATTGTGATTTTTACAAGACTACACACTCACCTTCTCCCAACCAAAGATGCAGGAAGAAGAACATGTCCTTCTTCGTAATACTCTTTGCAGAACACTCTCTGTGTATTTTTAGTTTATTTATTTATTATTTGTTTATTTAACTTATATGCCGTCCACACCCGAAGGTGTCTGGGTGGCTTACAACATTTATTATTACGGCCGTTTAAAAAATTGGTGTATCTCTGCTGGATTTCACTGTATTTTTATCCGAAGGTGTCTGGGTGGCTTACAACATTTATTATTAGGGCCGTTTAAAAAATTCGTATATCTCTGCTGGATTTCACTGTATTTTTATGTGTCAATTGAACTTTCGGTGAGTTGTAATCCTTTTACTCAGAAAAATTAGGAGTGCAAGAAATAAGATTGTTAACAAAGATTGGGTCAAATATTTTTGTACCATTGAGTTTGTACATACTACATGCCTGTTGGTGGAAGAGAAGGATAAAGTAACAATGTTTCTCGGGATTTCACGGTCTCCTTGCCTTTGTGTTTATAGGCACAACTAGAGATGGGGGTATTTGTATAATTTGTATTCGCATTAATCTTCTGGTTTTTAATATTTTGTTCATATCTTGCAGTGTACGAAACTTTCTTGTGAATGCAATTCACACTCAGCTAACTGATATGGAAAGGTGCATTTTAAAATACATGAAAGGAACTTCTGTTGTTGCACCTGAACAATTTCATTTCATGTTACCAGGGAAAAAGCATCTTGTAACTATCTCATATCCTGCAGGCATTTCTGATGATCAGCTTGAGAGTTACAGACAGGTAGGTCTTACACTGAAAGACTATATGGTGTTGTCTATAATGTCACTTCCATTAATGTTATTTAATACAAAAATGATCTATAATTTTATTTATTAAAATAAATAAGGATTTAAAGTATTTGATAATTCATATGTTTTTAATGTAAGACTACAATTTACAACCCTACAAGGTAGGTTGTACAGTATACAGAAGTGCCTTGAATTGTACAGAATGTTCCAAATGGCATTTTAAAAGATGATTACTTTTCTCTGTAACAGGAGTTTTTACTGTGTGCAGGGCAGCAGCATTCAATGAGAGTGTAGTTAATGAAAACCCCAGAAGTGTAGTTTCTTCTCATTCTTTTCTAGTATCAATACCTGATCTTCGCAATGCGGGTTTTCCCCATTGCGACGATCGGGTATGTTTCCGTATAGCGATCCCGAAAAAGGGATCGCTATACGGAAACATTGCTATACGGTGCACTCGTTAAGCGAGGCACCACTGTATACAAATTGCCTTTGACTGTGTAAGGATTCATTTTTGCGTGTACGAAGCACCTAGTTTTTCAGGTCCTCTTCAGAGGACTGTAGGATAGATCTGTATCTGTTTCCAGGAGCAGTGACTTGGCATTTCTTCATGCTCTACTAACATGTAAGAAAACAAAGAGCATGTGTAATATTTATGGGCTGGAATCCTGTTGGCACAGCTCTGCATGAATAAGGCTGATGGTGTCATCAGCCGTGGCCTTATACAGTACTATCAATTAAAAGTTTTCTCTCCCCACCCCCTCCAGGTTCCAAGGCTCCATGGGATACTTTTCAAGCTGCAGAATCCTTTGGGGGGGCCTTGGGAAAATAATTGCCGATTAGAGGCCTTTGTATAAAAACTTAGTACTAAAAGAGTACTTTAATTTGTCATCTTAGACTCATGGGGTGGGGCGATTATATGCTGTGATAAAAAGAAACTTGATTTTAAAAAATACATGGCTCAAATCCTGTTGCATGAGACAAATGGCATATTTTTCAGTGCAATTAATGGGTCCCCACTGGGAATTTTGACCATGTGCCAAGCTAGTGAGAGAGCATGCCCTCAAGAATCCCAGTAGAGCTTCGTTAATAGCCAGCTAGCAGTGACTAAATGTTAACACTACCTTGTATTATAAAGTAGAGCAAAGATACCTTGTTTCCTTGTTGATTTTTGCCTGCCTCATTTTTGCCTTATTTTTAGGAATTACATGGATGGTTTAACTTACCGTTTGACAGGCCTTATTTTCGAAGAGCTAATGCCTATCACTTTCCAGATGAATCATTCAGAGATGGATATCTCAGAAACCCACATGTGCATCTCAACCCACCTGGCATAGAGTCTGGTATAGTGAGTTTCATTTGTATTTGCTCTTGCTTTGATTTCAGATTTAAAGAGGAGACTCCATGGAAACTTGAGGCCTGTATAAAAGTAGTATATATATCTGTGTTGCTTCCAGCATCTATCAGTCAATGCCAGCACAAATGAGAAGCACATGGCCTTAGTCTCCACCTATAGGTTGAATACACAGACAGGTACAAACAAGTACAGGAAAGAGTTGGGATGCTGTCTTGAGGAATCTGACTTAACACTTTGAGATAAATGGCAGCACATACTTGTTTCCTGGTCTAGAACTCTGATTTTAGTACAAGTATGCTGCATGCCTTACGCTAGCTAGCATCAGAAGGAGAAGTAAAATACAGTAGTATGACTCATCCTGTGGTTTTGCAGTTATTGTCCTGTCCCAGAATGTCTCTCTCAATGGCTGTACCACCTGATTGTTACACATTTAATTCACTGTATGAAGAATTGTTTCTTGAACATTCTTGATTACCCATTCTCTTCCCTTTCCCTTTTCCTTTTTAAAATTTGTCTTTTCAGTTGTAAGTCTGCAGGCAGGGATTTATTGGGTTTTGCACAATATTCAAAATACATTGAAAAGTATGAATAAAAGTCATAGTAATAATAGTAAATTATAATATTAATAGAAACATAGTAGTAATAGAAGCATAATGTAGCTTACAAAGATTGTGACTATTCTTGTAGAATCGTTATGGACCTAGCCTTGTGTTTTATTTGCTTCTCTTTCTGGCACAGGTATATCTGGTATATGGCACATATACTTACCATCATTACATGCAAGACCGTATTGATGATAATGGCTGGGGCTGTGCTTATAGATCTCTACAGACTATATGCTCATGGTTCAAACATCAGGGGTATACGGACAGATCAATACCTACACATAAGGAGATCCAGCAGGTACACATAATTTCCAAGTTCAGATTCGTTGGGGAAACCCTGCTATTGATGGGGTGAGATTATTAGAGGAGCTTACATGCGCCTAACACAATACAGTGCTTTAACAGGAAAACAGGTTGCCTCAGGGCATGTGTGTACTCTGTTATACAAATATCAGCCAGTACAAATGACTGTTACTTCTTTTTTTCATTTGTGGTGGGGGTACCGACAACACCAAAGGCTCTAGTTGATGTTGGAGACAAGCCACCAGAGTTTATTGGATCACGCCAGTGGATTGGGTCTATCGAAGTACAGCTTGTACTGAACCAACTATTAGGAATAACTTCAAAAATACTGTTTGTCAGGTAAGAATACGTGGTAACATAGGAGATGAATATCTGCATTTTTAGGCCATATGCAGAAAGGAGTCACAACTGCTCAAAAATCCATTGATTTTATGTTGATTTTAACTGATGTAATCTTCCTTTGTCTTTTTGAGGAAGGACAGTAAAAACATTTAGTGGTTAATAATTGAAGCTTTGCAAACATCTTGGCTTTGTGTGGCCCATGTAGATTCCATATGTTTTTAAGCTACATAAAGGACCAATTCTCACATCATCATCATCATGTACCTTCAAGTCAGTTCTGACCTATGGTGATCCTTTCCAGGATATTCTAGATGAAGAGTACTCAGAAGTGATTTACCATTCCCTTCTTCTGGGGACATCCTGGGACTGTACAGCCTGTGGAATGCCAAAGAGGCTGGCTGTTCTCCCAGGAGATACACTGGGGAATCAAACTCCCAACCCCTGGTTCCACAGCCAGATGCCTAATTCACTGAGCTATCCAGCCAGCGTTCACATCATAGAAACACTTATATGCAGCCTGCAGGTTTGTGGATATAGTGTTCTTTGTTCACTACCAAAGTCCTTTTAAAATACATTCATTCTCCACATTTCTTTGTATGCCAGTTGTGCAGTGGCATTAAGGAACAACATTTTGTTCAACAGTAGTTTTATTTTAGATCAGGCTTGTCCAACCTGCGGCCCGTGGGCTGCATGCAGCCCAGGTCGGCTCGTAATGCGGCCCAGTGCAATTTTTTATTTTTAAAGAAATTCCAAAGTTTCAAGTTACACTGCCGGTGTTTGCAGCCGGAATGCAGCCAGGGCACGTCACAAGAGTAGGGAGGGAGAGAGGGAAGGAAGGAAGGAAGGAGCGGGAGGGGAGGGGAGGGGGGCTGCATGACTGCATTGCGCCATCTCCATCAATAGGTGGACCCCCTCCCAGCCCCATAAAGCCACTAGAGTCGAAGCTGGAAGCCTCTGCTGTCTGAGATCACAGCTGCCAGTAAGCGTGCTTGGAGCTGGGCTGTGGAGGACGGCTAGGGCTGCCCCCCCATGCAGTCCAAACCAAATTTATGTGTGGCCCAGACCAAATTTTCATCTTCTCATGTGGCCCAGGGAAGGTGAAAGGTTGGACACCCCTGTTTTAGATCAAATCCAATATGTTACTACTGGTACAACAGTAACAATAGTAGTCAGAATGCTTTCACATAAGTAATTTATTTCTTTGTTTTAGTTTCTAATTAGTGTTTGGAGTGACATGTAGTTTGCTTTAGAGTTTTATTATCAGGACTATAAAATATAAAACAGCAATGACATCTCTATAAGCAAGAGATGTGAAGCAGGTTAGGGATGTTCATTCTAAGGTGAGCAAAGTCTGGCTGAAGTTATTAGTCATATACAAAGTAGTATCAATTCAGAATGTGTTCTTTGAAGCATGCCTTCTAATCAGATGGCAGGCACAATAAGTTTAGTAAGGCATATAAGCTGTGGCTTCTGTTTTAGAAGCAAAACTAATAATTTCTGTGTTCAGGCAATACATAGGTTTACATGAGTTGAAAGCGAATCCACTGTCTAACTGGGTATTGCTTACAGCAGTGGTCAAATATTTGTCCGGGGGAATAATGGCTTTCTGCTTATTGGGGCAGCTTCTCCTTTTGGAAGGCTATGGGGAAAAATCCTTAGGTTATGATTTAGAGATGTTAGGGACTGAATTTTGTGTATTTCATTAACTCCTGTTATTTCCCTTCATAATTCACTGAAAATATCACTTTTGCTTTCAGCCAAGGGTCTGAGCTGGCTTCACAGGGAAGAGAACTTGCTAATCATTTTAAAACTGAGGGAACCCCAGTGATGATTGGTGAGCTTTTTAATACCCAGAAATCAATACATTCAGACTTTCTAAATATTCTATCTACTTCAAAAAAAAAAAAACACTTGGACAATTGTGGGCTGTTTCTTCACTGCCTAGAGACTGCTCTTTTAGAACACAAAGGTTTGCAGGAATTATATGTTTGAATGTTCTTTAACAGAAACACCACATTTTGCCAAGTTAGAATACTTTCCATGTACTTTCTCTTCCTGCCACAGCAGGGCAGGGCATAATAGGCCATCCAGATGTTGCTACAGTCCCCAGCGTTCCTTCCTGTCCATTGGCTATGCTAGCTAGAATTGATAGATTTGTAATCCAGTAAGTAACACCTGGAGTGCCACCATGCTTTACCCACTCATTTTCTACAAATAATGTACATTTTCTGTGGGAAATTTTCAGTCATGTGATCCTTTATTTCCACTTTAAGAAGGCAGAGTCTGCAGAGGAGCAGTTGTAAGTGACAGTGCTTCACTATCAACATATGTTTTAGTATATATCATCACATTTGCTAGAAGACTGTTGTGTTTGCTTCTATAATGAGGATAGTAGTACCAGTAGTAATAATGATGTCATCATTGCTCGATAGCTGACTAAGCCCAAATTCTGTCCTTCGCTGCATTGCTAAAGAATAAAAGCAGCATGCAACTTTGCTACATTTAAATAAGAATACTACAGTAGGGCATGATATGTCTCAGAGCACATATAGCTGCAAAGAGAGACACAGAGACCTCTTCTATCTCAAAATCCAGCCTGCTGATATCACCACACTCTGAGCAGATATGGCCTGTAGATCCCAAAACAAAAAGTGTGATTGGTCAGTTAGATCCTCTCAAACAGGATTTGAAAAAGGATTGACAAAAATCACTTCATTGTCTACAATCCCCGTTGTAGAATTTACAACCCAAATAAAGGAGGTGGCTATTGTAGATGAGGTTTTTGAAATGGCAGCCCAAAAACAAGTAACTATTGTAAAACATAAAGGTCTTGACAACTGAGGCCTAACCTAGGATCAGAGGAATTAATGGATTTTCTGGAGAAAATAATTTCATCTTCATGTTTAAGATCTTGTTTCTTGGTTTACAAATTTACAAGGCAAAGGAACAGTTGTGTGCTCCCACTGCCAAACCTCAGTGTAGAAAAGCCATTGATAGTTCTGAAAGAAATAGCCGTACCACGACTTTTGATTGTCTTGGTGTGTAATCTGTACTCTGGACAAATATTGTCAAGACAAAATGTGTAAAACAATGGTTTCCTATAGGCAAAGGTGCAGGGGGAGGGTATAGTTTTTGCCTATTCTGTATGCAGAACATATGATGTGGAAAGCTGGATTAGGTTCAGATGAAGGAGGAATGAAAACTGATGGAACAAAAATCAATAGTCTAAGATACATAGACACCATATTACTGGAAGGAAGCAGTAACAGCTTGAAAGAACTACTGGAAAAGGTTAAACAAGAAAGTATGAAAACATATGTCTAAGATTAGTTTGTTCTTCAAAATAATGGGCTTCGCTTGGAAATTAAGAGTGAATGAATAATTGAAGCAGATCTTCTTTCACCAAATGATATTAGAGTCTGTAGGCCTGTAGATTTATATTTTTGAAAGAAGCTATAACCTGCGTTATTTCTTTTTTGCTATAGTCCTCCTAGGCACACTTGCCTGGGACTAAGATTCACTGAAAATAGTGGAAATTGCTTCTCAATAAATTTTTTACATTGCCACATAAATCAGAAGTTTTGTTAAAGACTGATCATTTGACCACATGATTGTTTGTGCCTTTTGTTTGTTGTCTTCTTGTTTAGGCCATTTTCAGGTAGCTTAGAGACACTTCTAGCCTCTGATCCACCCACCTACCTCATTGTAGGGCACTAAAATGAGGCGGGGGGGGGGAGTTCTTCTGAATTCCCAAGCAAGATAAGATGAGGTTCTTTCAGCTTCAGTTATCTGTTATCAAGGATAGCACTCTTTTTCATGTAGAAGTAGGCTCCCCATTTCTATCATTGAGATGGTGTAACTTACGAGTTGGCTGCTCTGTGCCTACATCTGATTATGCAGATGACCTGTTTATGCAGTCTCTTTCCACAGAGAGAGGGAGGAAGACCACACAGGCAACTCATTATGGAGTCTGTGCTGTTCAGAGATGCACTGCCATTGATGTGGTATTGAACCCTGAAAGTGCAGACTTCCTATGTTTGTTCACATTTCGACATATATATGCCCATTTGATGTACTTTAATGACTATCCCCCAATGACGGGAAACAAGTGTCCACTTATCCTTTTTCTCATGTATTAAGCACATACCTAACTCTTCAGTGGCTGATGTTGACATGGAGTTAATAGGGGCTGGTAAAGCTCTCTCTGTCTATATTTTCTTTTAAATTGATCTAATTAACTCATCCAGAAATGTCTTATGCAAATAGTATTGTTGAGCTTTCTGTTCAGCTGTGCATGGTGATCCTATTGCTAAAAAACAGATGAGTTGTAATTCCAAACAGCCATGCTGAGCCATGAGTTTTATTGAGCTTATTTCTGAGTGTAAGCATAAAAACCCATGTAGTTGGAGTCTTTAAGATTGGAAATTATTTATATATAATAGTTTATTTTATTCATAGTACAAGTTTGGTTCTTCAGGTTTCCCTGCTGTGTATTCCATGAAAAGCTTTACTTATTTTGTTGGGAAATGAAAATTGTCTACCTTAATGTCAGAGAACTGTTTTAATGTATAATGAGCAAATCTATATTTTATTTTGAATATTCTTTCTCTCACTTTCCCAATTCAGGTGGTGGTGTCTTGGCTCATACAATATTAGGAGTGGCATGGAATGAAATCACAGGGCATATAAAATTTCTGATCTTGGATCCACATTACACTGGAGCAGAAGATCTGCATACTATACTAGAAAAGGCAAGGATCTATGTTCGTACACAATTTTCATTTTTGCAGATTGTTGTGCCTGAAGAGAAATATTTTATGGGATTTAAAAAAATACATTTCAACATTTCTTGTACCTGTTGATATGTGTAAATTCTTTTGAATGTTTAGAAGGTAAGTATATATAAATACAGAGAATGAATTATTTGGGGATTCATATCAGTTTTACAAAAATGCCAACTAATGCTATTACATTACAGCCTCATGCCTTACAGTTGGTGCTTTTTCCTTTTAATCTTCAGGGTTGGTGTGGATGGAAAGGTCCAGATTTCTGGAAGAAAGATGCTTATTATAATCTGTGCCTGCCTCAGCGACCTAAATCTATTTGAATGCCTGTTTAGACAACTATGGTAAACTAGTATACTCACTGAAACACACACATCTTGCTAAAATATGTGTGTATATGTATGTATTATATATTTATGTACATTTAAACTTTTAAGCAATGTTGAATTATCTTATGTAAAGTAATATGTTGTTCTGCACCCCAGCCTATGTAGTAACACTCTTCCAGTATTTTAGACCATAAATTAAATATATGGTGATTTTTCAAAAAAAAATGCAAGTAGTGTTTTCTAATTGGGGGTTGAGGCTTTTATAATCTGATTCTACCAATATAGTGCTATATGTTTGCTCAGAACCAGAAAGTTACTCCCAGATAAGTGTATATAGATGTGCAGCCTAGGATTTCTAGCGTTACAACATTACTTGAGGGCACAATATGACACCACCACACACCTCAGAGTTGCAGTTTCATAATCCCTGTAGGCAGATGTATATGTTCAGTATGTTGATGAACAGAGCTTGTACATTATTATGTTCTGAAGTGTATCTAAAGGTATTTGTATAGCCTGTGGCTGATGAAGTAACATGTTCAGAAACTGGTAGCAAGTTTCTGCCCTCCCACCTCGTAAATATGTATGATATGTGCAACTGTGGAAGGAACAGCATATCAGTTACTATATTAGTTCTAAATTTTGCATAGCAACTTGGAGAAGAGATGATAGAAAACAGTACTGTTTATGCATATTTATTTTTCTGTAAACATAGCTGTAATAAAAAAGTATCTTCTTCAAGAAGCAACTGATCTCCTTCTCAGAAGGCATTGTTCAAAATATGTAGTTTTGCGCTGCAGGCCCTTTGAGTTTTGATTGTTCATGTTTCTTCTTGTTGTGACAGGCTTTCGCATAACATCAGGAATTTCATACTGTTTAAACACAGAGAAGATTATTTTTCAGATAATCTGCATTTGGATTAAACGTTTTATAGCCCATAAGAAGAATCCAGTTTCTATACAGCATATCTCAGGCTTGAAAATATATTCCTGGGAAGTGGTTGATCACCCCTTCTGCCTTTGCCAATGCTGATGTTCTTTTCTCCTCCCATACAAAAGAACTCTATCTGAGTTATCAGGGTGTTGGTTGCTTCATTTGTTAACAATACTTTTAAGACACTTTTTCAGTTTCAGTAAACATTTGAACCAATGTCCAAAAAGAAATTTTAAACAAGAACACCCCAAAGGCTGGAATCCTGTACCAATTTACCTGGCATTAAGTCTCATTGAATGCAACAGGACTTACATCTGAGTAGATGTTTATAAATTGCATTTTAAAACAGTTAAATGTTTGAAACTACAGTGGTGCCTTGACTTACGAACTTAATCCATATTGGAACGGTAGCCATAAGTCAAAATGTTCGTAAGTCAAAGCACAGTTTCCCATAGGAATGCATTGAAAACCAATTAATCTGTTCCGGCTGTTTTTTGTCCTTATATCAAGGGTTCATAAGTAAAAGTACAGTGGTGCCTCGCATAACGAGTGCACCGTTTAACAATGAATTCGCATAGCGATCCGTTTTTTGGGATCGCTAATGCGATTGCATACCGATGCCTAGATAGGCAAAAACTCGCTTTGTGACAATCGGTAAGCGTTTCGCTTACCAATCTTCGCATAGCGTTTTTTAAAAATCAGCTGTTCTGCGGTTCCAAAATGGCCGCCGGAACACCCAAAATGGCCACGCGCAGCGTTTTTGTGCCCTGCCCTTGCTTACCGAGGGCACGAAAATGCCTGCGCTATGGCATTGCATAACGGTGAGTTTTGGGCCCATTTGGAACGCATTAAACTTCGTTTTTCTGTTCCGTATAGCGATGGGCTTTTCTGTTCCATATAGCAATGTTTCCCCATAGCGATGGTTAATCCGGAACGGATTAACCTCGCTATGTGGGGCACCACTGTATTAGTTACCATAGGAACTAATGCAAAGCCGGTTAATCCGTACTCTACCACTAGGGGGAGAAATATTTTTTCTTTTTTCTTCTTTTGATCTAAGATGAACTTAGGTCAAAAAAGGGCAGGAAAGTTTTTTTCCGTTCGTAAGTCAAAGCTCCATTCGTAACTCAAAGCAATATTTATCGTCTGGAGCTGTTCAAAACTCAAAACATTCGTAGGTCAGGGTGTTCGTAAGTCAAGGCACCACTGTACTAAGTAGATCTGAAACTACTAAAATGTCACAACAGTAAACATTAAAAAATTATGTGAATGAAAATAAGCACCTATGATATTGGATGACGTGTCAGTATATACAAGCATATAACTGAGTTCTAAATTTATGCTTTGGGCTTCGTTTTTGCAAAGTTCTTAAGAAAGGTGGCAATAGCAGTTAATCTTGTCAAACAGCTATCAGAACTCAGGCAGATATGTGGAAGATTTGTTAGCTGTCCTGAAAATAGCCCTGCTCTTAATTTGAAGTGAATTAAGGCAGAAGCTTAAATTTATCTTTGATGAGTGAAAGGCATTTGGTTCATTACAATACTGTCTACCACTAGCTGTTTCTTGATGATGTGTCAGTGTGACTAAAGGTAGATGAATTAGACTACTAAAGTCACCAGGATTAAATACTATTGAAATGGATTGGGCTTATTGCTGAGCAAACCTGTTTAAGATTGTAGTACCCAGTTTAATAGTAGCTATGAAATCGCATGCTCTAGCGTGCTGTGGTCCATGGGGTTACAAAGAGTCGGACACTACTTAACGACTAAACAACAACAATGAAATGAAACTACTGTATACAGTAGTTCTACTATATCACTGAGTTGCAAAGTAGAAGGAAAACTTGGCTGTTATTGTTTCCTGATACTTTGCAACCAATATAATTTCCTAACTCTTGCAGGGTAGAACTGTATTTACATTAGCTAGATTCTAGACATGATCCCTAGCTGGCTGGATAGCTCAATGTTTTAGGCTGTGGAGCCATAGGTTGGAACTTTGATTTCCCACTGTGCCTCCTGTGAATATAACCAGCCTCTGTGGCCTTGGGCAAGCTGCACAGTCCCAAAATGGTAAAGCACTTCTGAGTATTCTCTACCTCAGCAGTCCCCTACATTTTTGGAACCACGGACCGGTTGGGGGCCGGGAGCACCCCCGTGCTCACAAGCGTGACCCCCCGATCCATAATAATTATTATACTTAATCCATTTGTTAGTTTTGAAAGAATTTCTGTCAGACTGAAGTGACAGATTGCATATTGTACGTAAAATAAGCCACTGTAATGTTAATATAGTATATTGACTACTGCAGATTAAATATACCATTTGATCTCATTCTCTTCTTGCTTATGGATCTGTTGATTGCCCATGCTCGTTTCTGTCTTGTTGCAGCATTGCTGGACAAGTTCTCCTCATTGCTGTTCAGAGAATAACAAGGTTGTGCTACTGTTTTCCTGTTCTTAATTTGCTTCACTGTCATGAGGAAGTGGGCACAATCCAGAAATCCCAAAGCCAGTGCCAAGTCTTCTGCTGTTTGACCATTCTTATTGCGCAAGCTACGATATAAAATTAAAGCACAATCAGTTTGACTGGTGATATTTTACTTTCCATTCAGCTAAAGAAAATTTCTTTTTAAATCAATTACATTAACTTATGTTACTTATTGTTAAACAGGTGTAAGATTGAACTATATGGTGTTGATCCAACCACATGTCGTTCTTTAGATCTATTGAAATCAGTAGATTTGATATCTACTACCCTTTGATTTCAGTGAGGCTTAAGCATAACTAAATTTCATTTAGACTAAAACCAAGCAGCTTGTCATCTAAGAAGGTGAGTGGATCTCATTTCAGATTTCCGAATGGGGTGTTCCATTGCTTCTGTCATTAGCTACCTATGGGAAGTGTCCATCCTCTGTTAGCTTTGTCTGGAAGTCCCGTGTACCAGTTGTGTATGAGTGGTATTTTTTGCAAATTAAAGTACAATTCAAAGGTGTGCAATATAGGTAGTAATATGCAGAACTTGGATTAATTTTTTAAAAATTAGAAATTGGAAAAAAAATAACTTTTCCAAGCTCTGCTAAGACACAAGTAATGCTTTTTCAGTGTCAGATATAGGATCCATGCTGAAATATTTGCTCACATTTACCCAATATGAACAGCAGAATATAATTTAGGATTGCATAGTATTAGGGCACTAATATAAATAAATTGTGCACAAGTAATTGGTATTAAAACTAGTGCACTTACTCAATGCTGGCATGACTGGCGACAAGTAAAGCAAGACACTCCAAACTCCCAACCTTAGCTGCCTTGTGAATTGGAGCTTCCCCAAGCCAATCCTATGTTTAAAAGAGAGAGAGAGAGAGAGATGTTTTATTTTCTTAGTCCGAAATATCTGAACTATTATCATCATAATGATTGTGGTCAGTTAATATAAAAGAGACAGGAAATGCAGTAGCTTTCTCCCTATTGTCCAACTATGGTTGTAACAACTTGCAGGCATAACCGATTTCTGCCTCAGAACCAACTGTACCTTGGATCAGGACCATTTAAAAATATTTATACCCTAACCAACTCTTTGTACTGTACCTCCCAGGATAAGAGTCTTCATACAGGCGATAAAAATCTGTAAGCTTTTACTTGCAGCCTTTAAAAATAAGGCTTCTGAACACTCAGCTAATAAGGCAAAGAAGATTGCGGATGTTGTGAACATGTTGCTCTTAGATCTTTTATAGCATACATATATACTCCTGTAATAAAAGAATCATGTCACTGTCCCCTTAATACAACAGCACCCAGCAAATCAGAAACTAGAGCTAGCTTTCTATATATTCAATATTCACCACAGCACAAGAGTAGTAGAATGCTTTAAAGCTGCTCAGGTGCTTCTTGCTTTCCAAATGCTCTGTTCATAGTCCCATACAGTAGCTGTTCAGCCCAGTATAACAGTGAGAAAATGGGCTCTGTTGGAACTAGACTGCCCAAGAAATATAAAACACATACCTGTTCATTCACATTGGCTCCTGTCTGCAGTTGCCAAAGTAGGAAGAAAGCATTTCCTCCATGAGCAGCCAGATGAGCTGGAGATTGGACAAAAGCATCAGCAGCTATGTTGACTTCTGTCCCTTCTTCTAGAAGGTGGGTCAGGCCAGCAGGCTGCAAGACAGAGAAGTGTCTGAAACAAAGTTTCTGTAACTAAAGATGGATTGGTCAGTCTTTCACTAACAAAACTGAAATTATTCCCAATAAATAATTAAATAACTTCATCAGAACAATAAGCAATTTACACGAGTGTTACTTCTCTTGTTCCTTCTCATTGATTTTAAGATGCTGTAAGTTTACTCAGCAGTGTGAGAAAGTGTTATAATCAGTTCACTATAAATCTTTTTATAAGGCAAAACTAAATGTACAGATTTCCCAAATCTTACCTCTGTATTGCAGTCCAACAGTAACATTCTCTTCCTTATTTTTCCCCCCAAAAAATCTTGTGACAAAAGCTGTGGTTGAATTAGTTAACTTTCAGTAGAGCTCTTTACTCCCTTCTGCCAGTGCATTGAATGCAGTGCCAGCTAAAGAAACCGTACCCTGGCTGCAGTCCCGCCTTCTCTGCTGGAAACCGGCTGCTGCACGTACACAAACAAGAGCACATGCAACTCAATCCACTTCGTGATGTGCTGATTGGTTCCTGCTGATGCTTCCTTCCAACATCCTGTGCTTGGTATGCTTATGAGTTGGGAGGGGGCAGGAAGGGCTTATGGTCGATAGAGCAGCCATGGAGAACAGTGCAGCTAGACACGTAACACACAGACTCTGTCCTTCAGCTCCTCCCTTTGCAGCAGCCATGAAAGAAAACAAAGCAATCCTCCTTGAATCTTTGTCTGCTGACATTCCCTTTTAAAGTGGATTGTTGGGATACATTCCTTCAGGTGCATGTTTAGGCAATTAATTATTAGGAGGCATACATTGCTTCCTAAATAAAAAAGGCCATGTCACCCTAAAATTAAAGTTCAGGTTTTTCTCTGGTGGGAGACCAAGACAACACCAGCGAAGGTACAACACAGTTTTATTTGAAAAAGGCCGAAAAAGCTGATGGGCTCTCTCTAAAGCAAGAAGAGCAAAATAAAAAGTCAAAAGACAAGAGAGTCCTAGTAGCTGCACTTAGAGGGGAAGATATTGGATGGGGAAAATATGAGACATGCAGAAGAGGTGGGAGGGGCTGGCAATGAGGAAGGAGTGCTAGGCAGCCACCAGCAGAAGGAAGGACTTATGGAAAGATCATATCACTTGAACTAGATGATGTAAACAATCAAGTTATGCCATGGATTTGGGCAACTGGGTGCTCAGGTAGAGCTAAAAGGGCAGAATCAGTGGTGGTCCACTTGAAACCAGGAAAATTGCCAGTTCAGATAAATCAGTTATTCTTTGAAACTGGAAACTAAAAAGGGCTTCCAGGAAGTCCTTTCAAAAACCCTCTTGGGGTAGGGACTCATAGTCCCCTGCAAGTCTGAATTCAATACACCCATCCCAAGAAGGGAGGGAAATACTGATTAGTACAAGACCTTAGGGCGGTAAATGAGGTCACTCAGGAATCTTGCAAACAGGCTACAGTGTCCCTCCTGCATTCCTTAGGGTTTGAGGGGTTTAAAGTATCTAGGGAGAAGGCACAAATAATGCCTTCTCAAAATAAAGTGACATACCTGGGATTTAACATATTGAGAGGACAAAGGCAGCTGAGTAGAGGAAGGAAAGAGGCTTGCCAAACACCAAGAGAGAGCAGAGAGCATTCCTGGATATGGTGGGCTTCTGCATATTGTGAGTCCAAAATTACTCTGTTTTGGCAAAGACTCATTATGAGGGATCAGAGAGACCAGGAGAAAGGGTTGAGTCAACCTGAGAAATAAAAAAAAGCCTTCCAGGTTTTGAAGAAAAAGCTTCTTTCAGCCCCTGCCTTTGGTTTACCAAACCCAGAGAGGCCGTTTTAGTTATTTGTGCATGAGAGAGATGGATTGACCTTTGGAGTCCTCACTCGGATCAGCAGCTGGTGAAGGCTGGTGGCTTATCTGTCAAAACAGTTGGACCAGGTGGCAAAAGGCTGGGCAGTGGCAGTCACAGTCTTGTTGTGCAAAGAAGTGGGGAAATTCATGCTTGGATCCCCTATTACAATCCATGTGCCTTATGCTTACAATGTTGGAACAAAACGGGGTACTGGCTGTCACATGCTTGGCTGTGTCAGTACCACATGGCTTTGCTGGACAGCCCAGTGCTATGATTGGTAACCAACACTTGCCTCAATCCTGCTATCCTGCTCTCCGAAGCAAAAGACTAGGAATTCTCTAGCAGAAAAGATCTGAGGGACATTTCCATCTCCCATACAGAATATGAGTTTCATGTTGATGGAAGTAGTTACATAGAATGAAACAAGAATCCATTCCAGCGGACCCCAGAGAACCATCCCAGTATTCTGAGAACCCACCTGGGGTAAAAAGAAGTGGGTGGTGCAAGGACTTGACAGACTAAAGCTAGTGTTCTGGAACACAGAGACAACAGGTGGTTGAATGGGAGGATTACCCAAAACTTGTTTTCAGTACTTCAGCCCCAGCTGGAATCCTAGAGGCTGAATCTATTGGTTTTTGTGAAGCCACAGGACAGAAGATTCATGGACATCATCATGTGGACAGTGATTATTAATGGACTAGTAATGCTATCAATTAGATTCTGTTGCTGGCTGACTTCTCACCCCCTGATAGTGGGCAGGCTATTTGGCTCCAGGTGGAAACTGTAGATGGAGGGAAGCCCTAAACCCCTCATACATCCAGCCCAACATTACACCAGAGTGGAGGTTGATTTATGCTGTTACTAGATGCCGTGTAGAATAATAATTGAAACTGGCACTTCGAGGCATACCCACAGTGCACTTTTCTGTATAGAAAGCTTTGGTGAGTAGCACTGCAAAGTAATAACAGGAAGTGCTCCCAACAGGGCCTGAGTTTCAAAAAGAGAAGAGAAATCTTAAGACTAGCTCACCATGGGGGTTGGAAATTACCTGCTGTCTCACATCTGGACAATGATGTGGACAGCTATTCTTGGTGGATGGGAGGCCAATTAATTTGTGGCAGTCCACCAACTAGTAGCAAACCAGATAAAGTTAAAAGATTGCTGGATTTGCTCCTTTGTTCTAACCCACAGCAAACAAGGACTGCTTATCCTACCAATATCTCCAGCTGAATGTGATACAACACTTCTATACAGATTTATAATAGTGGTCTGAAGGCGATACCTGTATATCCCATTCACCTTTGCCATCCAGTGCCTTGGTCACCTTTCTGCTTTGAGAGCACTAATGGCAAGGTGGATACAGGAAGCTGGGCAAACTGCCACAACACCTTTCTCAATGTGGTATGAAACTACAGTAATAGTAAATCAATCAATCATGTACTCAGGAAGTAAAAAGCAAAAGCAAAGCGTGCTGCTTATATACCGCCCCATAGTGCTTCAAGCACTCTCATGGCGGTTTACAAGTTAATTATGCAGGCTACATATTGACATATTGCCCCCTCCAAGCAAGCTGGGTACTCATTTTACTGACCTCAGAAGGATAGAAGGCTGAGTCAACTTTGAGCCGCTACCTGGGATTGAACCCCAGGTCGTGAGCACAGTATTGGCTGCAGTACAGCGGTTTAACCACTGTATTAAGGGGACAGTGACATGATTCTTTTATTACAGGACTAAGGATGTAGAAACTAGAAATTTTATGGTTCTTTGTCTTAGAACTATAAAGGTGTGGAAAAGAGAGCCCACCAGCTTTTTCAGCCTTTTTCAAATAAAACTTGAGTTGCAACTTTGCTGGTGTTCACATGTCTTGATCTCCTGCCAGAAAAAAACAAACCGGACTTTAATTCTGGGGTGACAGCCTCAGAGGGGCTGATAACAAAAAGGCATTTAGGATAATAATGGACTTTAATTCTGGGGTGACAGCCTGTCAAGATTAACTGATAACAAAAAGGCATTTAGGATAATAAAGCAAAATGATAAAATGAATATACTACAGCTATTTTCTTTATTGTAGCAAAACCGAAAACAGTTGAAAGAGACAGAGAGGCAGTCTTTGAATGAAACACCATAATCTTTGTCCCAGATCCAGGAAAGGAAATAACTAGCTAAGCCACCCCCTTGCCAGGGTACTTGAAAAGAGTGGGTGCCACTGCAGATAACATGAGGGGACTGGCTGCCATCATATTCCAACACCATGGAATGCCATGGAAGACTTGAGGAAAGCACACAAGAGAAACATAATTGGGCAATCCTATTTGGACCCCACTTATTTAAGCTTTTTGTACTATTATTTAAATCTGTGGAGACAAAGAATAAAGCTACAGTACACCTTGATGGGGCTCTTACGTTTTCGGATTCAGAGTATGCTATCTAGCTGTACTATATTTCCTTCCTTCCTGTGTATGCAAGGACACTTTATTGTGGTTCATTTCCAGCACATGCTGGCATTAAGCCAAAGGGGAGCTTACTGTTAAAATTCCCTTCCGCTTTCAATTTCCTATTGTTAAATGGTTTAAGATGACAGCTTAGGCATGTCACAATATTGGAAAATTAAAAACCTCCTCTGTTCCTTCATGGACAGTGGAAGCAAGCAAAGTTTTTTGGGTTTTTTTTTTTTTTTTTAACAGTGGAAGAAAGCAAAGTTTTTTTGGGTTTTTTTGGTAACACCAATTAGAGTAGTGCTGATGTGCTGTACCTTTTAGAAAAAAATTGAAACATTCAGTAACACCAATTAGAGTAGTGCTGATGTACCTTTTAGAAAAAAATTGAAACATTCCTCCCAGAAAGAAGAGGAAGCAAGGAAAATGTTTGTTTATTTTTTTTTTTTTAAAGGAAGGAAAGCCAAATAGAGTCTCTTGAGGAATGTACTGTACCTATATACCATTTGAATGAAAGGACTGTAACAAATGGCATTCCATACTTCTACTCACCTTAAGAAGCCCTATTTAGCCAAAACAAGCCCACTCTAGTTGAGCCATCTAGCCAAGCCTTCAGTATGTTTACTACTTACAAGGGCAGGAGTAAAGTTAATGTTGATATTAACATAAACATTAGCAACCAAAAGCAATAAAGGTAGTGGGGTTGTTCTTTATTTAGCAATCATTCAAAATGTTTTCATAAAGACACTAGCTGGATATTGTCAAGCCTAAATTTTGATCATATGGCCTTTAAAAGTTACTATTTTCAGTTTCATGTGACAGAATACAAAATTCCCCCCCCCGCTTCCCTCCCCAAAAAATTACTGTTACGGAATGTGGGCATCACAAGGGTGCCAGCTTCACCATCCCACAGAGGCCTATCTCCCCACATCCCTCGTGTTCCCACTGTACCAGTCTGCTGGCAACAGAATTCTGTACCAGTTTCAGGGTTAAAGCAATCATTGTGACGTTTAGGCTTTTATGGACTAGAGTAGCAGCAGACGCTCTGAAAAAAAAAAGCAGCTTTTCTGGACGACGACGACTCGCAGCATCCCCTAATTCTGCGTCAGCGCGCGTTCTGGCGGATTGTCGGGATTCTAGCGCTAAGCGTTCCTTTCCCAGGCTGAGAAGAAACGCGTGACCCGGCGGAGCACGCCCGCCCCCGCGCAGAGTTCACACAACCCATTATTCCTCATCCATCTCTATCTCGGCTGCGCGCGCGCTCCTTTCTTACTGCCCGTCAGAGAGAGGAAAAAAGGGGGCGGTGCTTGAGCGTGGGCCGCAGGAAGGCGGCGTTGCTAGGCAGCGCGAACCTAAGCCGGAGGCTTGGGCGCTCGCTAAAAGGCCCCGCTCTGGGCAGATTTCTTGCGGAAGGGCGCTGTTTGCAATGGGAGCCGGCGGTGAATTCAGTGAGTCTCGCACGTGGGGGAGGGGAACCGAATCGGGCCGGTTCAGTCACCCCGGCTGACCCCCTTTTTTCCTTTCACAGTACCCCGCTTGTCAAGTGTGAGATGCTCATCAATTACGGAGTTCCGAGTTTCATGGCAATAACAGTACCTGTGGGCTGGTGTGCCTTAATCCCGAAGGCGTGGGGTTACGTTGGCGATGCAATCAGAACCCTCTGCACATGTTCACGGGGCACGTTTCTGTTTTCAGTGAACCAGAGCACAGTCCCTTTCCTTGAAGGATGTCTTGAAAGCTCTGGCACGCATTAAGATATCTTGCTGGTCTCCCCCACCCCTTCTTCCTAAGTGAATATTATAGCGACATTGAGATCTTAGGGCCACCAGTTGCCCTGGACAAAACAAGTGTGTCATAACATCACACTACAGTATTGTCCACCATCATAATTAAGTGTCAGGGCCATATGCTGATATGGAGATCCACCTGAGATGTACTCAAGCAGGTGAGGCATTGCCAGTGATTAACAATTCTCTTCTCAAGATTTCTGCCCAGAATTAACTTCCTTCAACTAATGACTGCTGCAAATTCTAGCTTTTACTGTTATTTGTGCCCTGATGACATTAACGAGTATTACGTACATACTGTTTTATAGATGCCTTATACACATGTAGTTAAGGATTCAAAATGGAAAGTGTGGAGAGTGTTGACAGCTACAGGTGTGTTGGGGTTTGGTTGAATGTACCATGGAAGCCTAGCCGTGCACTAAAAATAGAGATACTGTAGTCTGGAGCATCTTCCTGAAGATCAAGAATGTGGTGTGCAATAAAGACTTAACATTGGCCTCAGGAATGTGAATTGTGCAATGCTAAGTATTCTTGGTTCTATTCTGTTACTCATGGGCTTTTAACATGGGCTATTATTTTTAAAAGGAGGAAACATCTGAAATGTGGGCTTACTGCAGGATGCTAAGAATGTTTTGGATTGAGAAGGAGTCCAATGGAAAAAAAATTAAACAAATGAAGAAAACCCAAGAGACTCATACAATATAGAAAGCCAGAATAGTTTAGTTATGCAGCGAGAAATGGAAAGCCCATCTGATCATTCAAGTTAAAATAAAATGCTTAAAGAAATGCAGGAAGTAGACAAACTTCTTGGCTGAGGAGCCTGGGAGACTGATTTGGATGCTCTGTTCCATCACTGTTGCGTCTCACCTAAAGACAGTATAGCCATGATGACATCCAACATGTGGTAGGAGAGGAAGTAGGAGAGGAATGAGTAGGAGTGGGGAAGAGGATAGGCACTTGTTGCCATCATAATTTGCCAGGGAAAATTAAGGGTTCATCCCAGGTTGATATCAAAATAACTTTTAGGTATTCAGTATGAAAACTATGAATAAACATTTATCACTACAGACCTCACTGTAGTATAGCAACTGAACTAGCTCATCTCCTTATCCTTCTGGTAGAAGTGCATGAAAAGAAATATAATGCATTTTTACTAGATCAGTCTTAACCAAGAATAAATTTTGGGCCACTGTTGTAGAAAATAAATAATAATGATTTCCCATCAACTCAGTTCTGACATATGGAACTTCAAGGGTTTTCAAGATGTAAAGTATTCCAAAGTAATTCACCAGTACTTCCTTCTGGTGGTGCTCTGGGTTCATGTAGTTTCCCCATGGCCCCACAGATGGCAGGGCACATAATCCCATAAACCACACATGCCCCAGGAACTAAACTAACTTCAGTTTAACAGTACAGGGATGCTTAATAATTCTCTGAACAGTTTCCTTGCCCACATAGAGCCTCGTGGCACAGTGGTCAAACTGCTGTACTGCAAGCCAAAATTGTGCTCACGACCTGGGGTTCAATCCCAGGTAGCCAGCTCAAGGCTGACTCACACTTCCATCCATGCAAGGTCAGTAAAATGAGTACCCAGTCCGCTGGGGGGGGGGAATGTGTAGCCTGCATAATTAACGTTAAACCACCCAGAGAGTGCTTGAAGCTCTATGGGGTGGTATATAAGCAGCACGCTTTTGCTTTTGCTTAAGCTTTGCTTTCCCTTCTTCCTTATAAAAATCTCTTGTAACATTTTTTTACTCTATTGTATTCTAGTACATTTCTTTCAGTCTGTAAGCTTCTTAGGCCTTTGTCCTAGTGCAGATTTAGTAATTAGCATCTCTGTCCAGAACTGGGAAGATTTATGAAGCTTATGAATTACATAGCATATATCTTTCCATCCAGTTTCTTTTTTACAACAGAGTAAACACACGAGACCAGGTTGGGAACACAGAGTGAGCAGGGAAGACCTCACCTTCTTCTTGTCTTCCTCAAATGCTTCCAACCCAAAATTCCTGCCCACTCATGTCCATGATTATTAAAGGTACCAATGTAAGGTATTTAAATAAATGTCCTCTATCAGTAATGTTGTAACTAGATCCTGTGTTGCAGATTTTACATGGAAGGGGAGTTGGACTAAATGACCTCTTAAGGTACTTTCCAACTTTATGAATCTATCTATGCTGACCCAACATTCTTGATGAAGGAACAAAAACATACAAAATGAAGGTAATGACAACAAAAATAGCAAGAAAAACAAGAATGACACCTAAGGTATCAGGAGAGAATTGAATTTGAGAATAAAACTGTGCTAGGACCATGACGCACTGCTACTGATCTTCTGTTTGAACATCACAATATAATGGAGCTTGAAAAGTGGGATGAAGGAAGCTGGGATTTTCCAGCTTTTGAAAACTTTTAAACCCATCTGCTAAAGAGTTTGAGTTTTATCTTCCTTTCTGAACTCTTACGCCTAATAGGTCTCAAGTGGCCTGCAGTGTGAATGCCTCCTATGTTCAGCAGTGAGGTGAAGATTAGTAGGTCTTTGGAATCCTTTGTCCCCCCCCCCCCCAAGTGCCACCTGCTGACCTTTTTCAAATCCATCCTGTCAGCAGTTGGAGAATGGTCAATAGCAGGCCCAATGCATTGCGCCTCTCAGCACAAGAGACACTTGAGAGCTATATTACCTCTGGTTCTGTGTTGACTTGCCTGGGTAAGTGTGAGTAATATTAAAAATCAACACAAGATGTTCTTTTTAGGAGGAGAGCATTAGAAGATAAATATTTAACCTTTATGGCCGACTACGTGGTATGTAAGAGAAAGGTAATTAAGCGTTTTTCTATGATTCCCAGTCTCTCAGGCGTGGACATTTATTACAGGAAGGAGTAACCTGAAGGACAGAAATGAAGCTGAGCAGTGAGCCTCTGCCTCAAAAATGCAGCAAGGAATCCATTCTCCAGACTGTTTCAAAGATCCAGAATGGTGAACTGGAAGGACTGAAATGGCTCAGCAACTCAGGTGAAGAGATGAATGTCTGACTTACACTTCACTTTTCAGATGCTGTGATTTTTTAAAACAAAAATCCCTTCATGGAGCTCCAGTGCCCAGCTGGAGTGATGGGACTGATGGCAGCAGATTACTGCTAATTAAAAAGAGTTCCTTTTTTCAGTTGTGAGGTGCAAGCAACTTAAACTTATTGTGTGCAAGTTATGCACATCCCAACATTTTAAAAAGTACTCTTTAATTAGCAGCCATCTGCAACTTCTGGTGATGTCATTTCCACTGTGCAGGCAGAGTTCTGTAAGGAGATGCTGACCAATATAATAATTTTTCAGTTACCTGAGGTGAAAATAATAAATAAATGGTACTGTGTACACACAAGAAAATCATGGGACACTCAAACTGAAGAGCCAATTCTTTATCAGTATTGTGATCTATGGGCATAAAAACAAAGATGGCAATATAGAAATAACTTCATTTACAACAAAGGCATATAGGTACAGGTCCTTTTTCAGCTGAAAGACTGGGCTGTGTTTCAAAGTTTCATCCAAATAGGAAACTTGGAATAAATAAACACCTTCGCTGTTGTCATCTTCATTCTTGTGGACTGCATCTGCACCCAGCCTCTGCAGTTGCCACCGGCATCTGAAGAAATGGTCTGCAGACCACAAACTCTTGTGTTAGATAAAACATGCTAGTCTTTTAGCTGCCGCAAGACGTCTCGTTTGTGGTGTGAGACAGAGATCTGAAAGGGAATTATGTGGGTTGTGGGTTTTTTGGGGGGGAAATATTCCACATTTTAAAAAGCCACAAAATGGGGCATAGAAAAGGGATCAGGGGAACAAAGTCTCTCTAGAAGAGGCTGTAATTCCAAAGAGAACACTTCTGATTCCCTTGTTTCCTTGAAGCCTCATTTTTTGGTCTCTTTATGAACAAATTGTAATTTTAGGTTTAAAATGCATATTTAAAACATTGATCAGAACTATTTTGTGACCACAACCTCTGGTTCTTACACAATAAGAACATGGGGTTCTTTGGGAGATAAGTCAAATGCAGGTGAAGTTGTTCTTCCAGTATGCATATTCATGGACAGATGGTGCAGTCAATTTTTATATGTCACGGAGAATAAAGGGCTTGAATGTTGGCTCCTTTTTCCCTAGTGTAAACAGCACTGGCTGTACAAATAATCTGTTTACCTTGTACTTGAATAAATTGTGCAGAATGATCTTTGGATCAGGGCCATTTTCTTTGGCTGCATAGTTGCTAAAGAAACATGGACCTATATTTAGCAAAATGTATGTAAAAAAATAGAGAATTAAAAGAGTTATTTAATATGGTGTATCCTGTAACCAAACCAGCACTATAACAGATGCCGTACTATAAATTTTGGATGGGCAACCTCCAGCCCATCATTCTAACCTGGTCTGTCAGGCCTCTGGATCTAGCTACTGGCATACTTCCCAGGCTCCCTTTGCCAGATAGTGCACCCTCATGGGTGTGATTTTAAAATCCAGTTGCTATTTCCTCTGCAGGAAGAAATAAGCTTCCCACTCTAACTAACTGCAACAAGGAGTCAAAATCATTACCTCTGTACCCAGTTGGTGTGTGCTGGTCAGGAAAGGCCCAATTCCCATCTCTCTTACAACATGCTGGTTAGAATCCATTGTGGCAGGACAAGGATAAAATTGGTTCCACCAAACAGCACAAATCAGCAGAGGAAGAGCCTGGATAAGTAGACTGTCTCTGTGTTAGTATGAAGTATGGCTCTTTGTGTCTGTGCTCATGTATTTGTTAGTTGCAGAGACTAGAAAAGTTACTTTTTAATTATTACAATTCTCAGGATCTCTCAGCCAGCATTGGTCAGTAGCTCTTCTGCCTGATGAGTTCTGAGCATTACATTCTAAACTTTCCCACCCTTCACTTAAATGTGCACTCTTTGTTTAGATATGGTGTTTGTGCAGAATGTCCTGAAATGCAACCATAGGCTGTGCCACCCAGTTGGGCTTTGACAATCCCCCCATTGCCATGCAGCCCCTGACAGGTTTCTGCAGAGATGCTTAAGCTCTCCTAGGCTGTGCAGCCTTGCTATACTTGATGGTGATGGCATTAAGATTTTTCCCCAAGTTGTACGACCAAAGGCTGCTTCTTTATTTTTTAAACAGAGAATTACACTCATGATTTTCTGCTTGCAAAGGCTGAGGAACAGTTGGAAAAACGGATTCAAACTGGAGACCCTCTAGCATGTTTTCTCAAAGGGCAGCTGTATTTTGAAGAGGTGAGATTCCACTAGAAATGTTGGCATTAGAAAGAGGAGCTGATTCAGGTACTATTATTTTAGGATTGGCTTGGACTTAAGAACATTGGAATTTGCCTTCTGGAGGGTTGATCAAGCCCAATATTGACCTTTTCTGGTGTCAGGCAGAAGTGATTTTCCAGGACTTCACCTCCTAGCTGGTTCAATCAAAGATGATAGATGTTGGTCCTGGCAACTAAGGGATATTAAGCACATGCCCTACAACTTAACTATGACCTTTTTCTTTGAATATGATTACTTAAAATGTTATCCCTATGCAGGGCCATTAGTTGGTACTCATGACACATGTTGTGTAGCTATAGCTGGACCTCAGCGCAGTACTGAAGATTAAGTCATTGCTGAGTGATACTCTGTGGATGAGTGAGAACTTAAGTCACTCATTTCCCAACTTGAAGGATGTGCTCATTTGTTTCAGTACACACTTCCTGTCACAGCTGCACATGTGCATGTGCACGTACTGTATACAGAGAACCCGAGATCTGGATTCAAGCAACTCACTTTGCTATAATCTTATCCTAAGAGCCTATTTCCTGTGGTGCTTGTATTCATACCCTGAGGAGCCTAAGTAAACCTGTCACGTTCACAGGAGAGCAAACAGCTGTTTCCTGTTCTGGATATTGAGTCTAGGCATTTATTATTAGTCTTACTAATTTCCTTTTTTCAGGATGCCATCCTAACAGTTTCAGTGTTGCATTTTGTCCCCCTCTCTTTTCTAAATTCAAAGGACAGTGTGCACATATAACTGGATTTTGAAATATTCCATAACTAGATAGACTTGTTAAGTATTTAAGTTTTTAATTTCTCATTGTGTCTTCTACAGGGATGGTATGAGGAAGCCTTACTGCAATTTCAACAGAACACAGATTTTCAGTCCATGTATCAGTTAGGTGTAATGTATTATGATGGATTGGGGACCCCAGGAGATCCTGTGAGTTGGAATTAGAATGTTATTTTTCTTTTCATTCGTTTTTGCTTAGGCAATAGTTACCATTTTTAACTAATGGTACAAATTGGAAGCAGCTGAAATACAAGTGGTATCCCATTGCTAAGCAAATATCCCAATGCCAACACTGATTGTAATCGGCAAAATCCAGTACTACCACAAGTGCAGTGCTCATGCTCAGATGTTTCTTACAGGCGCTGTAAGAGTGGGGAGATGTATGGCCGTCCATATGTTGTTGAAATACAACTCTGTTCAGTCTTGTCATGTTAGCCACTCATGGGAGATTCAGTCCAACAATAGCTGGAGGACAAGATGGCTCCCAGCCCTGATAGGCCTTTGTTGCCTACATAGTGAATGATGTGAGCCATTGGGGGAATTGTCCATCTGTGCATGCCTGATACCCCTACCCACACTATTCCACACAGTAGAAACGGATAGTGTTCTGCTTTGCAGTTGCTAGAGCAAGGTTGGAAAACTGGTCCTCCAGATATTTTTGGCCTATTGCTTCCATCAGCCCTAGCCAGTATAACCAATAGTAAATATCAGAAATATCCAGAAAGATGACACATTGCCCATGTGTGCTATAGACACAAGTCTGGATGGGATATGGAGGCATGCACTGATCTAAGTGACTGTTGTAGGAATCCTTTGTGTGTGAATATTATGGCCATGCTGGAATTGGATCAGGCCCATATGTGGATTCTTGAATAAGATCTTTAAAAGTTAAGTTTCTATGGCCAGTATCCTATTTGCTTTCAGGGAACGCAATGGCTGCACAGCCAGAGTGCTTCACGATTCTTCCTGCTGGACTCCAGTTTGCAGCCAGTAATCTCTCCATTGCTTGAGATAGGGTTTTCTGCTTGCATGAAGGGAAAGCTGATTTGCCCTTGCGCAAGCGATGGAAGCAGAGGAATTGTGCATAGAATGACTTTTCCACACAGTTCTTCACCAAGAGGGTATTGGTCTGTACATTTAATCCCAAACATGTTTAAGAAGTCTGCTTGGTTAAAGATTTTGATTTTAAGATTGCACAACCGTCGAGCCAACAAAATACTGCCTAAAGCCTGCAGAGGGCAGTATTTGTTACTCTGTAAATACAAATTGAATATTTTTACTTGCTGAGGAAAGAGCTTGGAATTAATACATTACATCTGATACATTTTTTCATACTGAAGTTCCAGAAATAACATAATTTTATGTAGTTATCTTTTTATCAATTACCTTTTCCTCATTATCTTTTCATTAAAATAACCAAAGATCACCAAATAATGCAGTAGATTACTGAAAAAACTGTAACATTTACAGGCAACACATTACTTGGGGGTTGAGGGCGAGGCTTTGATACAAATTGCATAACAAAATACTTTTTAAAAGTACTTTCCAACCTCAGCATTATGTGTCCAGATATAAGATGTGTGATGTGTAAAAATAAAAATCATTATCACTTTGATTGCAGAAGAGCACTCTGATATTAACTTGTAGGAAGTTTTGGAGTACACCTGTATTTAAATATTAAATGACATTAATGCATCTGATGAAGTGGGATGTAATCCACAGAAACTCACACTGTAATAAATTTGTTAACCTGTTGCAGCAAAAAAAAGGTGCTGTGGCACCTTTAACACTGTTATTCCTTTGGAAATTAGTTTATTTATTTAATATACTGTTCTGTTAGTGCAATAGCACTATTCTGGGAGGTTTAACAACAAATTAAACATATATTATGTGAAGAATAGACAGTCAGGCAGTTTCCCAGTGACAGCGGGGCAGGAGGTAACAGTCAACCAGGGTTGGTATGAAAGGCCTCTCTGAAAAGAAATGTTGACAAGATACAAGTCTTGGAAGCCTGTTTTGATGCATTGGTAAAAGAAGTTAAGCATAAATGTGTGTAGAATATTGCACACTACAGTATATGTTTAGTTAAGTATACAAATAGTTTTCTTATTCTGAATGGCATACAGTGGTGCCTCGCACAACGGGTGCCTATGTTTAGTTAAGTATACAAAGAGTTTTCTTATTCTGAATGACATACATTGATGATAATAATAACACAAAAACCAAATATAGCTGTGGCTGAAGCAACCAGAACATTTGCCGGAAAACGTAAGGATACTGTTACTCTATGGTGTCCTAATGCACTGGTTCTTAACCTTGGGTTACTCAGGAGTTTTGGACTGCAACTCCCAGAAGCCTCCACCACCAACTGTGCTGGTTGGGGTTTCTGGGAGTTGCAGTTCAAAAACATCTGAGTAACAAAGGTTGTAAGGATACTGTTACTCTATGGTCTCCTAATGCACTGAGGGATATATCTTTGTGTTCTTATCCACTGGCAACTGCAGTGGAGTACAGTGGTGCCTCGCTTAGCGACGTTAATCCATTCCGGAAAAAACGTTGCTAAGCAATTTCATCGCTAAGCGATTTCAAAAAGCCCATAGAAACGCATAAAAACGTGTTTAATGCGTTCCTATAGGCTTAAAAACTTACCTTTCAGTGAAAATCCTCCATAGCGCCGCCATTTTCGCTGCCTCTTAAGCAAGGCAAAACAGCAGGCGGCCATTTTGTTTTTCCGGCGGCCATTTTGAAACTGCCGATCAGCTGTTTAAAAAGGGTCGTTTTGCTATGATTGCTTCACTGCGATCATTGCAAAGCAAATTTTCCCCATAGGGACCATCACTAAGTGATCATTTTTGCGATGGCAAAAAGTCCATCGCTAAGCGATTTTGTCACTCAACGGAGCGATCGCTAAGCGAGGCACCACTGTACTAGGTTGAAATCTGCCAGGGCACACCTGTGCGTTTTTTCAGGGGCTTGGTAATGCAGAATAATTTGGGAGACGGTATGACTGGGAACATGAACAGTGGCAGAGCAATGTTGGAGTTCCTCATAGCTCCCAATTGAGAAGGAAAAAGACAGTGTGTAGGAATAGCACGCTTCCCTCTGACTTCACCTCTTTAGTACACTTGTGCTGTTCTTTTGTCATCTATAGAAAAAAGGAGTGGAATATATGGAGAAGATTATCAATTCCGACTCCCCTAAAGCAAGACATTTAAAGTTTGCTGCCGCATTCAACCTTGGCAGAGCTTACTATGAGGGATGTGGAACTGTGATTTCTGAGAAAGAGGCTGAACGGTAATTTTTCTGTTCAAATCTTGAGCTGATCATGTTCAGAGTTTTAAAGCTACCTACATTGCAGTGGCCTGGCAGTTGTGAAGAAGCTAGATGTAGGCAAACTCCACACACATGCACCTCTCTCTCTCTCTCTCTCTCTCTCTCTCTCTCTCCCCCTTTTCAGCCTTTCCTGTCCGCTGGGGCCAACAACTGTACTGCTGCTGGGATTAAGTAGAGGGAGGAAAGGGCATTACAGGAGTCATGACCAGAGAGAAAGCAAACCCTCCCTTTTCCAGTTTTCTACTTTTACTTGATCAGTACACTTCCAGTTCCATGTTAGGAAAGTAGCACATAGAGGGGGCCATGGAAGAGGAGGCCAGCTGTGTCACCAATGCTTTCCTATATTCTTTGCAGATTATGGTATTTTGCTGCAGACCATGGGAACCCAAAGGCAAGCATAAAGGCTCAAACTGCCCTTGGGATGTTATATTCAGCACGGCACCCAAAAGAGCTGAAAAAGGTAGCACCTCCTTTTCTACATCCTTATTATAAACCTTGGATTCATTTGGGTATTCAGTTATTCAACAGAAAGAGCAGATTTTATTTTAAGGGTGAGAGGTCCTGAGGCTCCCATGGAACCCCTTTTATCACCAGGAAGCTACTGGGAGGCTGTAGCACAGGAGAGGGAACTCTGTAATTATCAAAAAAATTGCCCGAGAGTAGAAACTTTTGGAAATTAAAGACTCCCTCTCACACTCCTGTGGCCTCCAGCTGCTTCCTCATGATAAAAGAGATCACAAGAGAACATTGGGGCCTTCAGGAGGGACAGCATTGGAATTTTGTTACTTCTAAACACTGAGGCTGAGAATATCAGCATTATGTGGTGCAACATATGACAACAGCATTATATTCTATGTATGTATATTCCATCAGTTCCACAATAAATGGACCAAGATGGCTGGGGGAAAAGATGCAGCAAATGCACCACATTAACACCCAGTACAGTGGTGCCCCGCTTGACGATTACCCCGCTTGACGACGAATCCGCTTTACTATGAGTTTTTGCGATCGCTATTGCGATTGCAAAACGATGATTCCTATGGGGTTTTCCGCTTTACGACGATCGGTTCCCTGCTTCGGGAGCCAATTTTTCGCTTAATGATGGTTTTGAAACAGCTGATCAGCGGATCGCATAATGGCTCCCCGCTGTGTTTAGGACTGATTGCTCGCTTTACAGGCACCAGGAAATGGCCGCCCTATGGAGGATCTTCGCTGGACTATGAGGTATTTCCCCATTAGAACACATTAACCAGTTTTTAATGCATTCTAATGGGTTTTTTAACTTTTGCTTGACGACGATTTTGCTGTACAGTGATTTTGCTGGAACGCATTATCGTTGTCAAGTGGGGCACCACTGTATACTAAAACAACCACATTTTAGCTATTGAAAACAGTTTAAATGGTAATGACCTGTAGCTGCTTTTAAGCTGAAAGACCTAACCAGGGATGAGAACAGTTGCCTTTTCAGGATGTACTACTTCCTTTGCCTGAATACTTGACCCAACCAGTTTAATATAGCTTGGATAAACACTTTCTCCAAAGACGTGTTGGTAATGTGCATGGAATGGTGCTGATCCAGGCAGACTTTCCTTGCTTAATTAGGAAGAACATATTTTCCTTATGTGAATATCTCCTCTCAAATATATTTGATATATAATTTTTTTTAAAAAGTTGGCTATTTGATCTTTCACTTACTGTATCAGAGCCCCTGTCTCTAGCAATAAATGCCAGACCAGAAGGTATTTACAGAAGGTATTTGCATTTCACAAATCTTTTGCTTCTCTAGCAAAGTACACGTCTAATGTAAGTAGATCTGTATTTCCCTGTTTCTTTAGGACAGACAATCTAGCCTTGGCTTTCCCACAGTTAGGAGGAGAAATCTAACATATACTGAGAACTTCAGCTGTCTGACAGCTGACCAGTTACAAAACAAAAGCAGGTTAACTTGCCAAATGCTGCTAGAGACAAACTTGATTAGACTCATTAGACTTTTCCTTCCAGTGGCACACTGCTTCTGGACAGGGACGTGAATCTTTCAGCTCTTGCTCTCGGTGAGAAACTATGGGGGGGGGATCCCTATTGTCACTTCAAAGTTCAATTTCTTTGCATGAGGGTTTTTTTTACCTTAACAAAAGGATTCCTCTGACATTTTGTAGCCATTCTTCTGGAAGAAATACTAAATTACAATTCTTACACACTATGACATTTTTCAAGATGTACAGGATTCACAAGAAAGGGATTTAAGTGCACAGAATTTAGTAATTTCCTCTGCAGAATGACAGGCAGATACACAGACAGACAGGAAATACGAGACTGAAAGCCAGGGGAAGTCTCGGTGAGAAGTCTCAACATGGCAAAACACAGGAAAATTTCAGTTAAGCATCATGTTCCTACTTCTATGTATGGAATTAATATTGTTATGTAGTGAGGCCTTAGCTGAATAGTCTATATAGTGGATAATCTGTTCTCTGCAATTTTCACTGCCAAGATTCAAAAAACAAACAAACGAAAACACTGGTCTCAAATCAAATGCCTTGAGGTGCCAGTTATATCCCATGAAATATAATGGCCATTGAATTTTGGTGATAAAAAATCTTTAGGTTCCTCACCAGCCAGTGATGTTTCTTCTGAACATCATCTGTGGATTCATGGCACTGTAGCCATGAGACCCCATGGACTGCATATAGTAAGGAAAATGAGAAATCATCTGCCCTGCAACTAAGCTATGCAAATCATTTTCGTTCCCTGCAGGCATTCTTTTGGCATTCAGAAGCCTGTGGGAATGGAAGCCTGGAATCTCAGGGCATCCTTGGTCTTATGTACCTTTATGGACACGGTATACGTCAGAATTTAAAGGCTGCTCTGGAGTGTTTGAATCAAGCATCAGATCGTGGAAATGTCTATGCTAAAGGTCATTTAGTGGAGTATTACTACAAAAGAAAATTTTATACAAAAGCTGCTGAGTTTGCCAAAAGGTGAATTAATTTAATAAATTCAAGTGGAAACTAATGTAGGGTGGGAAGATGTATTACACAAAATTCACAAATGCATATGTACACAAATATACAACTCTTGGAATTTTGTTTTTGTTGTCTCTTCTTCAAGAATGAATACTGTTCAATACAGCAAAATCTCTTTTCTCTTTGAGGCCCCAGCTTCCTCTGACAAAAAGGGGAAATTGTATCAGTTGTCATACAACTTTGTAACTCTTATTGTTGTGGAAGTAAATTTAGTTTGGGGAGAGACAACATCAATTGATCCAGAAAAAAAACTAATTAAATATTTCATATCTGACAAATGGTGGAAATGATGAAGCAATTGGGTATATTTATATGGTTTGTATTTTTCTTATGGGATGTTTCTTCAGTAAGAAAGAATTGACTTAATATTGATTGAAAAAAATCAGTATACCCAGTGGTGTTCCAGGATTAACGTCACTATCCGGATTCTTCGCTATGTGTGTGGGGGGAGCCCATAGGAATGCATTAAACTCCGTTTAATGCATTCCTATTGGGGAAAAACTCATCGGTAAGCGAAGAATCCCCCATCCGGCCGCCATTTTCACCGCCTCGGTAAGCGAGGCGTGAAAATGCTGCGGACGGCCATTTCCCCCCAGCTGGGCAGTGCAGGCTTCGGAGAGACCACGGGGAAAACCCTCCCCCGGGGTCGCTCCGAAGCCTTCTCCCCCAGCTGGGCGGCGCTGGCTTCGGAGAGATTGCGGGGGAGGGCTCCCCCGGGGTCGCTCCAAAGCCTTCTCCCCCAGCTGGGCGGTGCTGGCTTTGGAGAGACCGTGGAGAAAACCCTCCCCCGGGGTCGCTCCAAAGCCTTCTCCCCCAGCTGGGCAGCGCTGGCTTCGGAGAGACCATGGAGAAAACTCCCCCGCGGTTGCTCCGAAGCCTTCTGCCCCAGCTGGGAGGCGCTGGCTCCGAAGCGCCCACCAGTGAGCTGGGGGAAAATGGGGCCTATGGAGAAAAATCACAAAGCAATTTTTCCCCATAGGAAACATGGCAATGCGATCGCTTTTGCGATCGCAAAATCCACATCACTATGCGGATTCGTCGTTAAACGGGGCACTCGTTATGCGAGGCACCACTGTATACACATCTAAAACGTTATTTCTCTTTGACTGATAAGATTCCCTCATCTACACAGCATCCTCCTCCAGTATCTGATGGTATCCCCAAAACAGGTGGATTCATTGCTCTCATTAGTTCATAATGATTGTTTCTTTTCAAAACGTCTGCTATTTAAGACTTTGTACAAGAGCTACAACATTGAGAGTGCCTCTGAATGCAGTTAACTAGCATTTGTTGGTCGACTTAATGTCCACTTGTACAAAGCATAGCCAACACATTACCTTGGACCTTGAATCCCACAATTCATATATGTATTGTGTGAAATTCATTTACCTATCCAGAGTAACTGCTAGTAAATTTTTATGATTCTATTTTAGCTTTATGAGGAAGCAGGAAAAAAATCTATGTATACCTTATATAATTTTATGAACTTTAGCTTCCAGTTTGGTCATGTTTCCTAAAACTGAAAAACCTGAAATTTCATCTCCACTCACCAACCTGCAATGCAGACGCAACAAACTGGAATCATGTTCTTCTCCTAAGTCAGAACAGAAACAGGAGCCTTTCCCCACAATGTTCTTGGCTCCCTGTTCTAGTTTCCATAGAGTACATAGCAACAGAAGCTCTGTCAAAAATCTTTATGTGTTTCAGGGAAATATTTTTATTTACCTCTTAGTTAGGAAGTGAGAAGATCCACTGTTTGTAATGTAAGACATGAAGCTATGTTACGTGAGTATTGGGACAGTTATGTGCAAATCTAGGATTTTTGCACAGAACTGGATTCTATTCATAAAATTTTAGCAAAAAAAATCTCCCACTGATTACGCAAAGTTACTTATGTCTGTTTTCAAATGAACCTATCTTCTACTTGTGTTCTGAATCCAAACAGAACCGTGGAGAATGATGATGTTGAAAAGATAGCAAAGGAAACAGATTGCCTTCCGTTTTACATTGCCAGAGGGCTTGCAATGGCTTCCTTCTACTTAGCTAGATGTCTTCAACTTGGCCTAGGAACACAACAAGATTTAGCAGCAGCTAAAAGATACTACTCTAAGGTAAAGTGGGGGTGTTCTGTTAATTGTATTTGCAACATTATGTGCTAAAAATAACCTGTTCCAGAATTACCTGAAATAATTTAGTAAAAATGTTAATCAACTGCTTGAAGTAAGTTAGCCGCCTAGAGTGGTCCCGACCTGACCAGATAGGCGGGATATTAAATAAATAAATAAATAAATAAATAAATAAATAAATAAATAAATAAATAAATAAATAAATAAATAATTTGACACGTTACCCTAAATTTCAGTGTAATGTATATGCTTGTGATGAATACAAAGGGGCATTAAGTCACGTGATTTTGCTTGTCTTCTTGTGGCAAGCTTCTCCAAAAGCGAAAAGCCCAGAATCAAAATACACTGGACTCCTATTGGTTTGGTTTGTGCTAGAAAACATTGTGGTATATTCGGGGGGAGGGCGAGGAGCCTTTCTCATCAATTTTGTTGTATCTAGTTCTAAAACTGATTTTATGGAGTTTTAAAAACTAATTTCACAATAGTCACTGCAACTGACATATACAAAAGAGTTAAATTTATTTAAAGTGATTTAGTGCAAGATATTTTAAAGTATGTTGCGTATTCACCTAATAAGTTTATGCAGTGCACCAAAGTCAAAAAACTTATTATGAGCAATATGTTTTCTTTTATTGTGTTTTAAAGGCATGCAGACTGGACCCTGCAATGGCTGCTGATCTTGAATTGACAGCTAATCATGGAAGGATTTAGAACAACATTTTGATGAAGCTGAGCAAGTTCTAACAGTTTGACTTTATAATGGCTGACAATTTTCATTCAGCTTTTGATAAATCATGACTGTAAACAAAATTCATTCTTCAGATACACAGTTCTTTTACATAATGTTTATCTTTCTCCTTCATTTAGAAGTGAAGCTTATAGTTTTCTTTCAGTGATCAATAACCATCATGTTTTGGTCAAAACCATGATGTTTCTCTCATTTATTTGACTGGCATAATAAAAACTGAGAATGAATAATCAAGTGCATCTGTGAAGGTATTTGCAGCCACCAGCCTTCTTAGAATTACAAGTCATTCCAACGCCAGCACTAGCAACTAAGGGCGTGCATGATACAATTTTCCATATTCCTTCTGTTTTGAGTTCTTTCAGGGGATGTCTCTTTTACCCAAAACATTCTTGTTGTTTTGCCATTTGTATTTTCTAGCACTCCAAACACCCTAAGGAATCCTTACAAACTATTAAAAAAAATAGGAAAGGCAACACAGAATCAGTTCACTTTAGAAGCAGGCAAGAGTACATGAGAGAAAAGTCATCATCATCAGACCTCCAGAGGCACCCCACACTGGGACAATCACAGTGTTCACCTGTCATCCTCCCTCCCAAAGCAAACAAAACAGTCCAAAAACATGCACCTTTAACAGAATAAATTAGTCAAATAACAATTTTTAAAAATCAATCAAACAGAGGAAGCTGTGATTGGGTTCATTAAATATCTGAAGCAGTTCCTTTTTGGTGGGAAATTATGACTGAGTCTCTTTTGAAACGTTACCAGATTTATTTAATTTAACATTAGGCGAGTCCACAACAACTTCTATTGGTTCAAAACAACTAAGATCTGGTAACTGTCCAAATTCTGAGGACATTACCTCTGTCTGGAAATTGACAAGATTGAGGGGCTGGCCCAAAACATTCCCGATCGGTGGAATTCCTCAGCGGAGCACTCCGGAGTGCCTATACTGTCCCATAACAAGGGTGTTTGGCCCAATTTCCCTCCGACAGTGCATGGTTGAAGGAAGAGTCCAGCCTAATCACCTTCCCCGAGTGACCTTGTCCCCGTGGAAAGACCACAAAGTCCATTCTAAAGCTTCTGCTGATGTCCCCCTTTTTAAAGACTTGTCGGGGTCAGGTAGCAACCCTCCTACCTTCAAATTAGGGAAGTCCTCCAACCACCCACGCATTCTATCATATTCATATTCTCTTTTCTTCCCCTCTTTTTCCTCACCTTTCTTCTTTCTCTCTCTCCTTGGTACACTGAACTGTCTCCTTCCACTTTGTTCCCATATATCTTCTTCCCATGCGGGCACAATTAATTCCTCCTCCCCTTTTCCCTCTCTCTCTTCCTCTAGACAGATTTCAATCTTCTCCTCTTTCCCCTTTGATTCCCTTCCTCCACATTCAACTCCTCACTTTCTATTGCCTTCCCTACTTCTATATCTCTCTCCCACTCAGACGTCTCTAGCTGAGGGGACGGCTCACTCTGTTCTTTCTCCTTTGGGTCTACCGCTCCTTCACAGAAGCACAGACACAAAAGGGGAAAAACAATAAAATAAAAAAAATACACATATCCCCTTCTCCTGAAAAACTAAGGAAGCAAGCAATTTTTTTAAAAAAAGTCACTGCCCAAAATAAACTATGAGACTATGGGGAGATTTCTGTCCCCACAGCCACTTAACTTCTTTTATTCCAGTAAACACACCAGGCAGCAGCAAAAATAATAAAAAAGGGAAGGCCAAAAAAAAGGTGGAGGGGAAGGAGAAAGTCCCCAAATTGTGAGGTGGATGAGGACCCCTGGCAGCACCAAAAAGCATCCAAGATGGAGACAGAGGCAGGCAAGCAGCAATTTAAGATGGAGGGCACCAGGAGCTCCACACACAATAATTCCATAAGGAACAACTGAAGAAAATATTGTTGCTTGTTGGTTTCCAGGCCTTATATAAATTCAAAATTCACACATCTCCTGGTCCTTCTGATTAGCTGCTGACAGCAGCCCTGACAACACTATTGGGTGAAAAAATTATCAGGCTATTTGACAGACAAAGAGGAAACACAAAAAGTAGTACACAACTTTTGTATACTCCTCTTTTGTAAAGAAGTATCAATTGTGTTCAATAGGCTCTCTTTCATCAACTGTAACCACCAGAAGAAGACAAATTACAAGGAAGAGATCCTTTTTCAAATATATATTTTTTCTTTTGGGTCTGATATGCCAGTGCAGACTAACATGGCTACCTGCTCTAAAACTACATTCATGTTTGGAGCATTTCATTTACAAACAAAAATCCCATCCCTCTTAGCAACCGCTTTATCATTCCCTCCTCTGTACTTGACACAGAGCTTTTGGTGTTGTATCAGAGAAAGGTTAGAGCCTTTCTCTGTCCTTGAGGGATATACTGTACCATATCAAATTAACCGGATTATTCTAATGTTCCTGAGCTCTGCATTGTAACACTCTTGTGGAATGTTATCATCACAGGCCTTATTATGAAAAATGGAAGGTTTCTTCTCAGAAAATGATGTAAGATTTAAAATAAACCCGTCATACACACATCAGCTGTGACCATGGAGAGTACTGGTACTGTGTTTCCCCTAAAATAAGACAGGGTCTTATATTAATTTTTGCTCCTAAAAACGCATTAGGGCTTATTTTCAGGGGATGTTTTATTTTACAGTCATGTCATCTTCTTCTGGTTGCAGCACAATGGTGGAGGGCGGGGTTTCACTTAACTAGAGCTTATTTTTGGGGTAGGGCTTATATTACGAGCATCCTGAAAAATCATAAAGGTAAAGGTTCCCCTTGACAATTTTTGTCCAGTCGTGTTCGACTCTAGGGGGCGGTGCTCATCCCCGTTTCCAAGCCATAGAGCCAGCGTTTGTCCGAAGACAATCTTCCGTGGTCACATGGCCAGTGCGACTTAGACACGGAACACTGTTTACCTTCCCACCGAGGTGGTCCCTATTTATCTACTTGCATTTGCATGCTTTCGAAACGCTAGGTTGGCGGGAGCTGGGATAAGTGACGGGCGCTCACTCCATCGCGTGGATTCGCTCTTACGACTGCTTGGTCTTCTGACCCTGCAGCACAGGCTTCTGCAGTTTAGCCCGCAGCGCCACCACGTCTGGCAAATGTCATTGTTCCCATACCGGGAGTTGAACCCGGGCCGCCTGGGTGAAAACCAGGAATCCTAACCGCTAGACCATATGGGATGAAAAATCATACTAGGGCTTATTTTCAAGTTAGGTCTTATCGTACTAAGTGGTCTCTTGCTTGGGGTAGTGCAGAAAATAAAAAAAGATATTTGCAGGACCACTTATAGTAAGGGATATCATATGATTATTCAGATATACAGGTCCTAGAAGCAATATCATGTTTTCTAGTAGCACCACGTTATAAATTAAGTTTGAGAAAACACCCATCTTTCAACAACTGCAAGTCACTCTAGTCTGGCTTTTTAAAGTTATGAACCAGCAATCTTAGCTTACAATTAAATATTGATTTAAGAGCTCTTTAAAAAGCAACACATTAAAGAAAACCACCCTTGATAATATCAAATGGAAAGAGAAGTGATTTATCTGAATTTTAGTCCTATCAGCAACACAAATCATTCATATAGTGCTTATATATTATTTGCACTGTGTTTCAGAATAATATTAAAGTTCTGTGTTTCGTATTGTGGATCATTTGCACTGTGTTTCAGAATAATATTAAGTTCTATCCTTGCTGAGAACGATCAATGCAATTCTCTCTGAAAGGTGCATTCAGACCCGTTGGCAAGCTATAAGGTAAGTGTAGCTTAATTATGAAGTACTGCCATTCAGTTTTATTATTTATTGCTTACAAAGGCTCCAAACTATGGTAAATCTTTGGTAAAAATAAAAACAATAAAATTTACACAATATCTTTACACATATTGCACAACAGGGCTTTTCAATACACAAGAAAGTAGAGGAATATTCATTATCCTCCGCAAGTAAATTAACTGTACAATGCTTATTGATATACTACTAAAGCAAAATGCCTTTCATAAATGTTTAAAATATTATATAGTTCCTACATGTTATATTAACATTTACATTTCAATCTGCATTTCAAACAGTTATTCATATAACAAGTTAAATAAAAGCCAGAAATTACAGTGCTGGCATTCTACCCTATCATCATCCATTTTTTTCAAGTCTTGTTTGTGTCCCGTAAAAGTCAAAGGAAAACAACTCAAAAAATTGTCAGGAATCTTCAGTCAGCCCTCTGTGGAAAAGAGGGAAATAAGTTTCATGTCTACTATTGAGAATAGACATTTCTGTAGAAAGTCACTTGTGCAGATTCAGACCTGAGCTGCTCTAAACTGTTCTAAATCAGTGCGCAACTCAGGGCACATTTCAATTAGCAGCAATTCCAATAACACCTGGAAAAGAAGAAGAGGTTTAACATTTTAGGGATGTTTTGTCCCCCAATTACAACCTAAGAGAGGGGAGGGACCAGCTTGGTAGGATTCATACTCTGGCCTGCAAAGGCTCCATCCTCGAAACCCCACTCTGTGAAGACAGAAATGGGGCAGGAGGAGAGGGAGTGAAGATGAGACCTCTGTAGTCAAGACCTAGTTTTAATCCCCAGTCACTTTGCTAGGGCAGGGATGGAACCAGTTTTCACTAGACCGGCACTTTACGAGCTAGGTCACAACCTCCTCAAGTGCTGGATGAATGAGATGAGCTTCCTTCCAGAATTGGCAATGCAGATATTTCCTTCACCCATCTCAGGTAACATAATATCTGCAAATAATTCTAGAACAGTAAAAAATAAAAGAGTAGCAATTGCTGGAAGCAAAGAGTAAGTTCCATGAATAAACACCAAACATTCTAAAATCTTAAGAAAAGAAGGTAAATTTAAGTTGTAAATATGCCCACTAAGTTTCAAGTAGCATTCTAGCAACTCACATAAAGAAGATGCTTATTGGCCTTGGTTTCTTGAAGTGCATTGAATACTTTGATTACACCATGACGAGCATTTTGCTGCCCAACAAGGTTCTGGAGAGTATCTGGAAAAAAATGTTTTTAATGAGGTTTTGATTACTTATATTTGGTAACATGCACAAGAAATGCAAATAAAAATTCACAGCAATAGCCAATTCGTCCCAACTACAGTATACTTAATGAATAAATGGAACTTGTTAAAGGAGTACAGTGGTACCTCGCAAGATGAATGCCTTGGGCAACAAAAAACTCGCAAGATGATAGCATCTTGCGAGTTTTTTGGTGCGCCGCAAGACAAAGATATTTTCATCTTGCGAGGTACATTTTCCTATAGGAATGCACTGTATTTTAATTAATGCGTTCCTATTGGCCAAAAAACTCTGAAAAAGTCACTTACCAGGTAGGGAGCTGGGGAAGCACCATTGGAGGACTGGTGGGGTCCCCTGCAACTGTGATCGCCGCTTTCAGAGGTCTCCCGGCAGTCCTCTGATGGTGCTGGGGAAGCCTCTGAAGACTTCCTCAGAACAATTTTTGACCTTCCCACCCTTTTCCCATTCGGAGGCTTGTCTCCGATAGGTGCTCGGCAAGCCTCTGAGCAGAAAAAGGCAGGGGAAAAGGGCACCAGTCCTCCGATGCTGCTTCCCCAGCTCCCTACCTGGTAAGTGACTTTTTCAGAGTTTTTTGGCCCATAGGAATGCATTAATTAAATTTCAATGCATTCCTATGGGAAAACGCGCCTCACAAGACAAAAAATTCACAAGACAACAGGTCTCGCAGATTGAATTATTTTCATCTTGCGAGGCACCACTGTACTAAATTCCTGCTGGTTCAGTGGTCTAGTTGAGACTACCAATTGGATTTAGCACATAATGTGCAATTAAAGATTCCTTTTGAGACACTGATTTAAAGAGTTATATATGTCTGTCCGTCCATCCTGTCCATGCAACTGTATAATGTAAGGCTGATGATATGACTAGCCACAGTGATTTTTCAGTAATGAAAAAAAATCCCTCTTAAATGTCCCAAGGAATTCCTTTCACTGTGGGAAGGCTTTTGGAGGTTGGAGTAAGATGATTAATTTTTTATTTCTGATAAACTGCTATGGCTGATGACATCATCTGCCTCACACAGTGTAACGTCTGGCAAGTGGATTTCAGCCTATATACTTTAACCCTGCTCTGGTAGAGGGCAAGGGGATCAGCACAGGTGAAAGGGAGTTCAACTAAGGAACAAGGGGGAGCACAAACAAAGGGACAGAAAGCACAAAAGGAAAAAAAACTAGCTCTGGTCTGAAGAACAAAGCCTTGTACAAACACTCCTGCAGGCATAACATCGATATGGCTCAATCAATAGTAGTGTGGAACCTGTTTCCAGTCTTCACTCAGCTTTTGGTTTGCAGTGAGTCCAACCTAATCATTGAAACTTTTGCTTCAGATGCACTTTCAATGCTATTAACTGTTTCTCAAATTCTTCCCCCACCCTTAAAATGGGGAAGCTTTTCCCATTATGCAGTTTAAATTATTAACTTAGTTCCATTTTGCAACATATGGAAATTTTACTGGTACAATTTCAGGATTAACCCTATTTCAATCATTCAACTCTCAACCACCCTCTTCAAACCAACACTGCATACTTAAGGACTAAATAATGGCCTTTATGACAATGATTTACTATCACAAATCAGCTTTCCCAAAGGTTTAAACCATATTCGAAAGTGACTAACAAACTAAAATTGGAATCTTTGAGGTCTAACAACTGGAAGGACACAGATTTCCTGACACCTTGTGTAAGAGAAACACATCCTGTTTCCTATCCTTTTTCAAAAAGGACAGATAGACATAATAAACCTCAGGATTAGTTTGGTATGCATGTTATGCCCTTCTACTTTCTATATTTGGAAACAGTGAATAAACATGCAGAATGTACAGTCCTTAAATTCTCTCTTCTGCCCTTTTTGCAAAATGGGATCCTCACTTATTTTGAAAGGAAACATTCCAGTCTTGCTCAAGACGGATTAACATTTGACAGATAAAAAGAATCCCTACAAAGGGTGAATATGCAACTGGCATGTATGTGAAGTTGTATCTTAAACGTAAGTATGCATATTGAGAAAAAAGTGTGCTGCTTATATACCGCCCCATAGTGCTTCAAGCATTCTCTGGGCGGTTTACAAGTTAATTATGCAGCCTACACACTGCCTCCCCAGCAAGCTGGGTACGCATTTTACCAACCCCTGAAGGATAGAAGGCCGAGTCAACCTTGAGCCCGCTACCTGAACCCCAGGTCGTGAGCACTGTTTTGGCTGCAGTACAGCAGTTTAACCACTGCACGACTGTGTATTAGCTCTATCTAAGAAGTTCTTTGACGATCCTAGGGTACTATGTATATGGTAAACATTCTTTATGATTATCTCTTTCAGCTGATTACATTCTGAATGTGAGAATACTAAATAGATGATGTGATCACCTGGAATGTTTTCAAGTAATTTTTGCTGTGCTTTCTGTTTTGTCTCTCGGCTTTGTTCTTCACTTCTGACCTTTGTGCTAGATGCCAATTTTCCATTTGGCCAAAAAGCATCCCGGAATACATTAATATAGTAAACTAGCATTGCTTCACTGAAGATCCAATTTACAGTGTCACGAATTTGTCTTGAAAGAGAGAAGACAAGAAGAATTAGTCATAATACCAATTATATACTATAGACTACTAAGAATTAGCCATATCTAACCCACCATCCAAATTCTAGAGGGAACTACATTTGGTATGTATCAGACAATACAGATGGTTTCTGCACATCATAGTATGCATGTAGTTATTTCTCCACAGTTCCAATACTGTGGGTGAGGAAGAATGAACATAAGCCATGATTGTATCAGTGCATTAGTCCACAAGATACTTCTCATGCTAACTGTATTACCAAGAATCTAGACAACATTGTTCCCATTACTGCATTTATCTTTTGCTTGCTGTTCTCCTTTTTTTATTTTTGAAGTTGATGTACTTCCATTCTGAACTTCATCTACAATTGCAATTCTAATCTGTCAGGTGTAGATTGAGAACAGTAGGTTTTCACCTACTGTGTACGTGTGAACAGTATAGTGGTTCAAGATAATCTATCAATGGCTCTGCTGCCATTTTCCTGTACTGTTTCCCTTTTCTGCATTCATCAAACCTTTAAAAGAGATGGTGGATCACCTTACTTTACTGTGGTCCAAAAGAAGTACAAATTTAACTTCTAACGTTCCATGGCATTCATTTAGAAGACATGCTGTTTACAAACATCAGTATATTCACATGCAGTTTATGTTACTGTAGTTACAGTGAGTTGTTTTAACGATAGTTAACAGTTTGTTACAAATAGGTAACAGTTTGTGCTGAAATTTACCAGCTACTGTGGTAGTATTTCTATGCACTTCTTTCCCCCTCACTTGCAGAGGATTCTTCTTCCCAGTAGGCCAGCAGCCGCACTTAGGAAACATTCCCTTTTTAAAAACTATAACTCCCATAAATCCACAGCCAACATGACCACTGCCCATTTGGGCTTGAGGTGTGTGTGTGTTGCAATCCTAAAATGGAATGTGAGTGGAAAGCATTCAGAGAGGGTGAAAGCAAGCTACCTTTAGATATAGGGGAAAAAAACAGGAAATGTACTCCTGGCCTAGCAAGAATCTTGAGGTAACTTAATGTGCAACACAGAAAACCAACTAACTTGATGTCAGAGTTGGGTGTTGTGCCTTGCTCTCAAAGCCAGTTCATTAACTTCCCAATTAATCAAATGTTTTGGTATCAAAAACTGAATTTCTTTCTGGGCCATACACTGTTAATACATTCACCCATAAAACAAAAAAATATATGTAAACATATTTAAAACATTAAAATGAAGCAGATGTTATGCAAAGCTTAGTTTATTCAGAAGAGCACCAAGCTAGTTTTCAAGCAACTCTGTCATGTTGCAGCAGGGATGGGCAAAGTGTAGCACATAGACAGCATTTAACTCCCAAACCACATTTTTGCTTTTTTAAAAATATCCCCTGTACCCTGCAGGGCATGTGGGGAGCAATTTTGCCATGTTCTTGGCAAATCCATTGCTAAATCTTCTGGAAGTCCAGCTTTCGGCTTAGGGATCTCAGTACCTGAAGTAACTACAATTCATTTCTGGTTTTGATAAAATCTCACTGCTGTGCCAAAAACTGGTCAGTGGAGTGAAGAAGAAAATAAAATGCCCCTCCCCAGCCCAAGAGGATATGGGACTCTTGGGCTGAGGAGTGAAAAAAAATGAACACAGGGAGTGGGCTGGTCATTTGAAGTGTACAGCTCATGAATACAAATGGAACAGAATGGTCTGATTCATACAGGGTGCCTCTCAGGAAACGCCAGTACCCCTAATGCTTGGCAGTACCACAGAGCTTAGCCATGCCCAGCTAGTTCCCCTGCCTTGGAAGTCAGAAACTGACTGATTTTTTTTTTCTTATTTATGCACCCATTGTAAGTTACACCATCCCTAATACTTGGTGAAGTCTCATGGTGCAATGCTATACATGAGTGCAGTGGGATTTATTTCCAGGTAAATGACTACAAGATTGCAACCTCAAAAGCTTAAAAATAATGTTCATAAACATTCTCCCATAACCAGGAAAAACCAGAATTATGCAAGTTCATACAGATCACAAATTAGAATTTTCCTCACATGAAATTTTGGAATTATCTGGTAAGAAATTTCATCATTTTATTTGTTTTGTTGTTCAGCTGCAGATCACATGGGATGTTTCACATAAAGGAGTTCAGAAAAATCTAAGAAGCATTTTTCTAGAATTTCAACATAGAACTTGTGAAATTGACATTCCATTTAGTTTACATGTACTTGTTTCTAAACAATCAAGCAGCCAAAAAACATTCCTAGAAGCATAGAAAGTGTAATACACTCACTTGTTGATGGTTCTTCCAAAAGTGATTTGAACTAGTGCAATTAGTGTCTTCCTCACCCATTTAAACACTAAAACAAAGAAAAGCAAGCAGCACACACAAGTGAACTCCAAGCATGCAGTTAGGGCCTATTCAAATTCACTTTAACACCTATATCGAGCTACAAAAATTGCTGGGAGAGAGAATTCATGTGTGTGAAGTGGAACTTCTGGGGATATTCAGGCCTATTATCTCCTTGCCATCTTATTCTGAGAAGGCCATAAAGGATCTGGACTAAGTGATGGATTAGATGAGGATGACCCAACTAAATCAAAATCCAGACTATTAGTCAAAAGATATACTGGTCCACTGATACAATGGCAGCCTGCTCTAGATGGAGTTAAACTTCTCCTTTAAAAAATCAGAACACTGGTATTCTTGCTAGATGCTTTTATTTAATTCAGAGCAGTGTGCCAACTGCACCTGTTCCTGTTGGACCTGGCCATGATGACAGATGAATTAGTTGCAGTTGGACTGTGCTAATGTGCTCTACTTACAGCTGCCCTTGAAAACTGTTTATCTGTATGCAGTTTTCAAAGAGGTGGCTATGTTTATTAGATTCAACATGTGTGACAAGAATGAAACAAAAACATATTGTGGCACCTTAAAGACTAACACGTTTATTTTAATATACATTTTTGTGCATTATAAATGGATTTTCATCCACTAAATCTCACACAGAAATAAAATCTATTAGTCTTTTAAGTGCTATAATAGATATTTTTCTATTTGGAGTTTATTATACATTTCTACAAACATGAACTGCTTGTTCCAAGAATTTATATTACTATTCTTTTTATCAGAGTTCTGTTCTTTTATCAAGCTTTTATGTTTTTTGCTCTTTAGGCTGTTAACTATTGTTAAATGTGATTTTTAAAAACTTCTTTGAAGCTGCTATTGTGGAGTATGTTTTAAAAAATACTTTTATTGGCCTGAATCCATTGAATCAATGACATTTGTATTAAGTGTTGGTTCATTACTCAGGCAGTTGATTCAGTGTGTCCAGTCTTAGCTGAGATGAGCAACTGGATTCAAGCCATAAGGTTTGAAAAGTAATGCTTTCACAAATTAAAATAATTTATTTACAAACCAACTTTTGCCAGCAGCATTAAGCAATGACCACATTCTTTAAAACTTTATAAGCTAACCCTTACAATGTATTTTATGATTTTAGTGGTGTAGGCTGTATTTCAGTTCTGACTATGGAATCTGCTGCTTTGAGAACCTCCATAAAGAAGGACAAAAAAAGTGTTAATATATTTACATTTTATAGATATGTCAGAAAATAGGTAAGATAGATAAGAGTATGTGTGTTCCTTTTATGCTCTCTGCCACAGAAGCCATATGTTTATTTGTGTTTTTATTATTGCATATGCTTATTCTATCCCTTGTATGTGGGAGGTAAGAAATTTTAAGAACTGACTTCTGGAGAGAATAATTATTCTCAGTGTTTCATTTGCACACATATAGTTTAAATCTCTCACACTACAGGTACAGTATTTTCTATTAAGAGTTATTCATTTAAAGGAGCATTCTTTTGTCTTAATATTTATAAAAATGTCCACATCTACTGAAACAATTCTTAACGTTCCCCCAATAACTATTATGAGATGTGGATGGAGAAGGGCTAAAATACTCAGTACCACTTTCAGCCTTCTTCTCCAGTTAGTCTGTGGTTAAAGAAAACTGGCATGCTGTGGAGAGGTTAACACAGTCCTCAGCACTCATGCTAAAAGCCACATGTAGGATTGACATGTACTCTTAAGGCATGAATTACATCTGAAAGGTAAAGCACTCACCTGTGCAAAAATTCCATGCACACCTACCAACATTACTTTTCACTGACATTCTAATGCTACATGCAAATAAATCACCATTTGGTTTATCATGTAAACCAGTGGTTTTCAACCTTGACTCCTCAGATGTTCTTGAATTACAACTCCCAGAACTCTATTGCTACATGCAAATAAATCACCATTTCGTTTATCATGTAAACCAGTAGTTTCCAACCTTGACTCCTTAGATGTTCTTGAATTACAACTCCCAGAAATCCTGGTCAGCACAGCTGGTGGTGAAGGTTTCTAAGAGTTTTAATCCAAGAACATCTGGAGACCTAAGAGTGGGAACCACTAATGCAGACAGTAGGTCTTGGACAGCAATTCACATTCCATACAGCGGTGCCCCGCTAGACGATGACCTCGCAAAACAACGAATCCACATGATGATGACTTTTTGGGATCGCTATAGTGCTTCACAAAACAGTATTTCCTATGGCCGATTTTCACTGGACGAAGTTTCGGTCCGTGCTCCGCAAGACGTTTTTTTTCCAGGACCGATGCTTCGCAAGATGATGATTTTCACAGATAGGTCCGCAACTCGCAAAATGGGTGTTTTCGGGACCAATGCTTCGCAAGACAGTGATTCTAACAGCTGATTGGCACTTCGCAAAATGGCTTCCCTATGGGCGATTTTCACAAAACGACAATAATTTTCCCCATTGGAACGCATTAAATGGATTTCAATGCATTCCAATGGGGAAACGCTTTTCGCAAGACAATGTTTTCACAAGACAGCAATTTCAATGGAACAGATTAACATCGTCTTGCGGGGCACCATTGTATTAAAGCTCAGAAGTAAGAAGCACTTCATATGGGAATATAGTATCTTCTGGAAATTTTGCACAAATGAACAAGTTTACTGCTTACTTCCTCGCAGCTCAAAAATCTCTCCTATCAGCATGAAGCAAGGCTCAGCTAGGGCATCCCGTTTCCCATCCACATCATCCCCATAGTCAGACAGATCATCCTCGTCTTCAGCATCCTCCTGGACAAACACATGCAGGATGGAAATTTTGATTGAATAAATTATTACAATCAAATTAATCAAAGAGCATCTGATTAAATTAGGCAAATAATTCCTCTAAAATGCCATATATATGCTTTCTAATTATTTTGGACAGGTATTTTAACCAACCCCAAAATGTGTTTCCTGAACACTTACCTCTTGATGAGAGAAGAAATCACCAGGAAGTCTCTCCAAAAAAGAAGAGAGGGAAAAAGAAGATTTCTTTCCCTGTACATCAATAGCCTTCAAGTGTTCAGGGGAAGGGCTTAAAAAGGCATAAAGTGCTTCACTCTGACAGAGCCTTTCATCAGAAAGCAATTTCTGAGGAAAAAGAAAAAAAAACAGAACTATTTCAAGACACAGCAACTGCAGATATTTTTTTTTAAAAAAGCCTGAGGTAACAAATATCTGAGGAAGGCTCCACAAGGTGTAAAGGAAGAAATGTTAATTAGCACTGCCAGTGTCTGCTGGTCTGAAAGCACTAACAGTATCAGTGGTGATTTCTGGAATCCCAAGCTTTCAGCAGCTCCTAAACACATTCCTGTCAAGAGAATTAATTAAAGCTAGCATACAGAACAGCATGAAGGAGGCACTATGTTTACACTGACTATTTCAAGACACAGCAATTGCACATATTCTTTTTTTAAAAAAAGCCTGAGGTAACAAACATCTGAGGAAGGCTCCACAAGGTATAAAGGAAGAAATGTTAATTAGCATTGCCAGTGTCTGCTGGTCTGAAAGCACTAACAGTGTCAGTGGTGATTTCTGGAATCCCAAGCTTTCAGCAGCTCCTAAGCACATTCCTGTCAAGAGAATTAATTAAAGCTAGCATACAGAACAGCATGAAGGAGGCACTATGTTTACACTTATTAACACAAATTGCCTGTTAATAAGTGGTCTTGCCTACCTAGGGTCTGAGTGGTTGCTAAGGAGCCCTGTAAGTACTGCCACCAGCACAGTCAGTGCTTGCTTGAACTTTTTCCAATGGCTGTACATCAACTTTATTGTCTTCCTTAGGTGGAGCATGTGGATTTGCCCAAGTTGCATGTCCTCTCTATATATTAACACAACTAGTCAAATTGCATGTTAATAAGTGGTCTTGCCTACCTAGGGTCTGAGTGGTTGCTAAGGAGCCCTGTAAGTACTGCCACCAGCACAGTCAGTGCTTGCTTGAACTTTTTCCAATGGCTGTACATCAACTTTATTGTCTTCCTTAGGTGGAGCATGTGGATTTGCCCAAGTTGCATGTCCTCTCTATATATTAACACAACTAGTAGGTCACCAAATATGGCAACTTCTACCACACCATTAAAAAACCCCTACAGTCCCTTCATTTTTCAATATAAATATTTGGGAGCTATGCAATGTTTATCAAAGGTCAAAGCTGGCTTTGGGGGACATAATTTGACAGAAGCAACAGAAATACACAACTAATCTTCGAGGATATTTTTATAAAGGGCTGTCAAAAACAGCAGTGAAAAAATGCATAAAGGTGGAAAAGTACAAAAGTCACTGGAGAAAGCATGCCAGATTCATGGCCAAGTTACACAAATCTATGCAATGACCCAAGTGTAAGACTATTCTCAGACAACACGTGCCCATGCTTTAGGGTTTAAGACACTTGTTTTAAAAACAGCAAACTAAGCAAGTTTAGGTATAACATTATATACACAGGAATGGGGGACTACTCTTCAAGAAATGAGTTGCTGTGAGGTAAAAATAAATACACTCTGTGTTTGTTGTAGACATTAAACTTACACTAAACAGGATCCAAATCCATCATGTTCTTGCCAATTATTCTTCACATGAAACAGAGCCCAACATTTCACATATGCCAAAACCAGACATGGAAAGCTCTCCCCTGCAGGCTAGCTGAATGCTACCTTTTTGCTCTGAACACGTAAGAGTGGAACTCTTTGATTTTTTTTTAACTTTAGTTTTGGAATTTCATTTAACTACTCAGCCTATGCAAAATCTGCAATAGTATTTCTTGGGCTTGGAAAAAAAAAGATGTGATAATTAATGAAGCTGGATCACAGATGGCAGTTTTATCAAGATGTAATTAAAATGGCAGAATTTTTTTCCCCAGTGGCACTAAAGCACTGAAGAATCAAATGGTGGAACACCCATTTCTGAGATAATCTAAGTTGACTAAGAGAATGCACCAAACAGTAAAATAGCCTCCACTATCTTCTACCAACAACCACATCCAGTGTAAGAGCTCTAAACACATACTATTGTATGCCACATGACGCACAGTTAAATCCTCTTTGTTATCATCGCTTATTCTGTTTCCCATACACAAGTGTATTTGTTCAATGTATCAACAAGACAGCTTGCCATCTTTTTATATGCTGACAAACACTTTTTAACACAGTATCAGAGCTGCAGTCTTTGAAAAAAAAATCAAAATAAGTCAGCTGTACTTTCAATCAAAATTAACAGGCACACATAACATTGTTACTTTCAGAGAGAGTTGAAACTAAAGACCACATTCAAGGGAATACATTTTTCCAGCTCTTACATCCTTCTCTCATCAGCACCTTACCTCTCTTGTGCCCATATCTCAGGAACTAGACAGGCAAAATAAGGAACTGTCTAATTCCAAAGATAGAGCTAATATATTCGCGAAGGCTTTCACGGTCAGGATCTAATGGTTGTTGTGGGCTTTTCGGGCTCTTTGGTCGTGTTCTGAAGGTTGTTCTTCCTAATGTTTCGCCAGTCTCTGTGGCCGGCATCTTCAGAGGACAGGAGTAGCATTCTGTGCTCTGATGCAGTTTGTTTGGGACTAGAGTATTTATGGCTGTGAGATCAGCTTGTGTCCTTTTCAGGAGATGAGTGATTATGGTGTTTTTGTTGTGGGTGTATTGTTGTGATAAGGAGAAGAGATTATCTGTCATTGTGATTGATGGGTGTCGTTAGCTGGTCTTTTGTGAGTAGTGATCACTGGTCCTTGTGGCTGGGTAGAATTCGTTGACCTTTTGCACACTGTATTTTTCACTACTGAGAGCCAAGTTTTGTTGAGTTTCAAACTTTCTTCTTTTTTGTTGAAGTTCTGCTGATGTTTGTGGATTTCAATGGCTTCCCTGTGCAGTCTAATGTAATGATTGCTGGTGTTGTCCAGTATTTCAGTATATTGAAATAGAATTTCATGTTCAGCTTGTTTTAGGGCATGTTCAGCTACTGCTGATTTTTCTGGTTGTTTTTTTCCCTGGTTGTTTTAGGCTGCAATGTCTCTCATGTTCTTTGATTCTGGTGTGGATGCTTCATTTTGTGGTTCCAATATATACCTGGCCACAACTGCAAGGTATCCGATATACTCCTGCAGTGGTCAGGGGGTCCCTTCTGCCCTTTGCTGACCGTAACATTTGTTGTATTCTCGTGGTTGGCTTGAATACTGTTTGCAGGTTGTGTTTTTTCAAAGGTTTCCCCATGCGGTCCATGACCCCATTGATGTATGGCAGAAATACTTTATTTGTGGGTGGCTGTTTTTCTTCTTCAGTTTGGTGTTGTTTTCTTGGTCTGATGGCTCTTATGATTTCATTTTCGGATTAGACATTTGCCTGTAGGGCCCAATTGAGATGGTTGAGTTTGGTGCTGAGAAAGTGAGCTTCACAGTTCCGATTTGCACGGTCTACCAGTGTTTTGATTATGCTTCTTTTTTGCTGTGGGTGGTGGTTGGAGTTTTTGTGTAGGTACTGGTCTGTGTGGGTGGGTTTTCTGTAGACCTTGTGTCCCAATAGGTCAGTTTTGCGTACGACCATGACAGAGACCCTTTTCCAGCTCTTACATCCTTTTTCCCACACAGACCTTTGGGTAAAGTGGGTGGCATATAAGTTGAATAAATAAATAAATAAATCTAAGAACAGGAGTTGGCCCTCTATTTCTTTTTCCATGGTGAATTGTATACAGTATTTGGGTGGATGCTGTTGAGATGGTTTAGAAATTCTTCCAATTTTTCCTCACCTTTGTTCCAAATGGAGAAGGTGTCATACACATATTGGAACCAGATGGTGGGTGTGAAGGGTGCCAAAGCCAGGACCAGTTTTTCGAAATGCTCCATGTAGAAGTTTGCTATAACCAGGCTGAGGGGGCTCCCCATGGCCACTCCATCTGTCTGTTCATAGAATTCATTCTCCCACTGAAAGAGCTAATACTTGCTCAGGCAGCTCCTGTGGACATGTTTCTACATTTGCACCCCCCCCCTCCTAGCAGGGCCATTAACCCTAACATTCTCTGAATAAAGACCTAATATGTGAAAAGGCACAAAGAGACCAGAAAGAACAGCTGAATCTAAAATCCAGAAAAATGAAACCCATTTGCAAGCACTCCCATTTTAAAAGAAGAACAGATTGATAAGTTCAAGTAACTCTTTGATCTCTTACCTGTAAGAAGCTATTTAACTGGTTCCTGGACTTCTCCATGAATTTCTGGTCTATAGATTTAAAGGGCAGTTTGCTGAGTGAAGGCAACTGAGCTTTCTTTAATGATGGAAAGCACTAGTTACAGGGGAAAAACACAAGTGCTCATTATTTCTCTATTTTAATTTACATGCTTGAATGCAACAAAGCAATGAGTCAAGAAAGGAAGACAGAAAAAGTGCCTTTTTATGTCTACCTCATTCTACAGAGGAATTCTACTAACAGCTACTCAGAATAGGTATTTACAAGTACAGCAATGGCTCTAGAAATGAGCCAATGCCTGCCTAAGGCTCAATGGTATGCCCACCTTGCCAAAATGCAGGGTACAATAGGTTACAAGAGGATCAAGTTACTAAACAAAGTTAAATAAAGCAAGCAGAACAGAGCTAGCTGGCCTAAAACATCTCTTTAGGTATAAGACCATAGGATAAATTTTTCCATAGCATAAGGTTTCACTTGTACAATGCTGAGGATCAATGTACATTACAGTAAACAAAACAAGAGTTAAATCAGAGAAACCCCTGAGGCACTCTGTAGTAGGAATATGTCCCTAGCACTTCGGGTTGCAAAAACACAATCAGAATGAAAAATTCCAGGTTTTTCTAAAAAATATGTTAATAAGGATCAGTAGATAGAGATGAGAAGGTAGATATATCAATAAGGGAGCATGGCTGAACAAAAGCACCACCCAGCAACAACCAGAGAAATACAAAAGAGACATTGATTTAAGCTGAGAGATATAATTTTGGGGAGAAGTGTGTTGAAATAAGATCTCACCAGTTCAGAATGGGAGGTTACCCTGGTAATATTAGCATCAACATTTAAAAGCAATTGTTTTCTATTTCTCTACCATTTTATTTATGGATATTTCAGTCCACAGGAGCTGGTCAATATAATAGAACCCCTACTGTAAATCTCTGAATTTCTCAGTGACCATAGCCTATGAACAGTTTCAGTATATTTGTTCTGTAGTTGTCTTTCTGTGGGACTCTGGCCAAGACAGTGTCATTTGGCCCACTTTGTCCCTGTGCTGAAAGCCACACCAGACAATGCCCCTGTGCTGACTCAGCTACAAACATGTATATGTGTGACCCAGACTAAATGCAACAATGGCAGCTCTTTTGGGCTCGGTCCATCAGTGCCAGTGCCCACTATATTTCACTTTCCAGTATCATCTTCCACAAATTAAAAAAGTACAAAGAGCAACAGAAGAAAGGTCATTAACTCTAGTACCAACTTATAGCAAGTGTAATAGGGCTTTCAAGGTACGTGAGATACTGTATTTAGTCAGTTTTCACGGATGAGCAGGGATTCAAACCGAGGTCTCCTGAGTACTAGTCTATCACTATATTCACTACAGAACACTGGGTATCCTTTTAGGATATAATGCAGAATATACATGTTTTAAGTAAATAACTTGCATAGTTTTTTTTCTTGTACAAAACTAGCTTTCTTTCCTTTTAAGAAAAAAGTGTGCCCGTTCACACGCACACACATAAACTCCAAGCACAAATGGAATGGCTGATTATTAAAAAGCCAACCCCCTACCCTCAAATGCTTGTAATCTTTAAACTACATAAACAAAGCAGCAGCCATCATCATTTTTAAAAAAATGTGTTATTAGCATTAAAAAGTTGTTTGTTTGGGGCTTCATGTCCACAAATGTGCTTAGTTTTACAACACATGCAAAAAAATCATTCTTGTTCTTTGCTTCTTTTGTCGAGATCAATGCCACAAAAAACACCACCATCTCATAGGGCAAGAAGCATAATTTTGCAATTCCTCATCTTCTCATGCTCCACTTCCCCTATGGCACACACAATGGCCATCCACAGCTAAGACCAGCTTGCAGTGCGGTGAGATAGAATGATGGAGAACATTTCAGTTAGGGAAGAGTGCAGAAGAAGAATTAAACTTTCTCTTCACGGTTCTCTCCATCACAAAGGAGTCCCAGTCCAGTTTATCCCATTCTGCAATCCATTTTGGTAATGTCCACATTGAACTTTAACACATCTAGTCACTTTATTGTGCATGCAAATTACTCAGTGGGCTTCCCAAAAACTATCCATGGCCCTTGGGAACAATGAGGCCAGAAATTAAAACAGACACAGGACCAGAACTTGGAAGTTGACTAAGAAAAGTCATGTCCTTTCTATACATAAGAAAACAAGTCAATGCCCTAGTGGTGAAAAGCTAACCGTCCAAGAGGAAGATGTGGGTCCTGTAGTAACCTTTCCTAGTCCACAGAAACTCCAATACATTTCAAGCTGAAGTGTGTTTATAAAAATCTTGCACATTTCCAAGTAGAAGAGGCCTATCTACAAAATGTTTATCTTCTGTATGTAATTCCTCAGCCATTTCCAAATACATGTATGTGTCAGACAACATATACTTTTGCCTCCTGCATTATTATACAGAGGAAAGCACAACCTCATCCCTGGATGAAATGATCTGGCCATGCACGTACATTAATGCATAATATTAATGCTGAGGAAGAGCTTTCCCACAGTTTCTCTATACCTCGCAGAGTTTCCGATGTAGGCTTTGAAACTCGCTGAGCTTTCGGAGGACTGTCCATTCCTTAGCTCCAGCACCACCGATCTCTTGTAAACTCACCATGACAGAGTAACAGGGCACTTGTTCACCAGCTTCTTCTATGACCTAGCCAACGGGAGGATTGCTGAATGTTACCTTTACAGATTTTGTGCAAAAATAAATTAAATGTACATCTATTTTATGCAAGAAGCACAACAGTGTTTCTCACTGCAGCACATGGATAAATTTAGTAAGAACATTTATCCTTCATATATCCAAAGATTCAAAGTACTGTCTGAAGATAGAAAACTCATGGATTTGATCTCTGATCCTATTAGGCTTGAGGTAGATAACACTTCACACTAAACATGGCATAAAATATGTGACAAATTTAAAAGAGAAGCAGAGATTCTTCCACTCTTCAGGCTGCAATGATGCCAACCACATGCTTATGCTACGGCTGGAGCTGACAACATCCCCACCGAGTTCTTCCTGGAACCATAGTTCCGGCATGTTCTGCCTAGCTTTCCAAACTTCAGTTCTGTAACATCAGCTAGTTACAGAATTGTACTCAGAGAGTACTTATCAATTGTTCTTTCTCAAACTGGGAGGAGGTAATAAGTGGAGTACCACAAGGCTCAGTCCTGGTCCCAGTGCTCTTCAACATTTTTATGAATGACCTGGATGAGGGAGTGAAGGGAATGCTTTTCAAATTTGCGGTTGACACAACATTGAGTGGAATAGCTAATACCATGGAAGTCAGCAACAAGAAAGATATTGATAGGCTTGTGCACTGGTCTCAAAACAACAACTGAGAGAACATGGATTAAGTAACTTTTCTGGAAAATACAGGCTTTTTTCAGTGTCTGGGAATGGTTGACTGAGAAAAGGGGGGGGGTATTTTTTGCCCACAAAGGAATGAAACTATTGTCTGTGATTTATCTTTAGGCTAAGACTTAAAGGTCTAGATAGAACATGATGAATAATGTATAAAAAGACATCCAGAAGTTACTTTCATCGGCTTAGCTATCTCTTAGGAGATACTATGCTCAGTTGCTGTGTGAGTATATTAAGTAGTTTAGTTAACATTCTTATTTTCTTGTGCGTTTGCTCTGCATTGCTCCTGCTTTAGATTCTTACTGACTGCTTGCTCCAGAATACTTTTGATGTCTTTTTGAAACCCTTTGAAACTTTTGCTCTTTTCACAATCTTTAATAAAATATAACTTACAAGCCACTTCCAGTTCTATTATTTTATGATTCTGTGGTGGGCACCACCATTTTAGAGGGATACTGACAAGTCGCAAAATATCCAGAGAGGCAATCCAGATGTCAAAGAGTCTGGAAATCGACCCTGTGAGGAATGGTTTAGGGAACTGTGTTTGTTTAGCCTGGGGAAAACTGAGACGTGATATGACAGCTATCTTCAAATATATGAAGGACTAGAACATAGGATATGGAGCAATCCGACTCTCATTTCTGCTAAATTATGATGTTCTCCGAGTGTAAACCCAGTGTTGGATCCTGTCCTTAATCAGTTAAGATATTCATGGGTACCTGCATGCAGCCCTTCTAGTCCTGCATTGCACAAGCAGACAAAGAGCCATGAAGGTTCCACCAGCTTCCTGTTACACATAAAGCTGGGATTACAACTGCTTCCAAATGAGCTAGGGTCCAAGCCAGTTCATGCACATCCTTACTAATTAAATCAGAATGATTGGGTTCACATGATACAGGAGGACAGGTATTACTTTGTACAACAATGAAAAAATGTCAAGTATATTTTAGCATGTGCTGGAAAAGGTGGTTTTAAATTTTTGCGCACCAGAAAAATAGGCTCATGGAAATCTTTGGTGGAAGGTTAAGTGCCATGATTTTTTAAAAAAATATGAGACAGGATAAGAGAAAAACATACCTCACTAGTATTTATAAAGGCTTTCCACATGCCAAAATTCTCACACCACCAGTCTGTTCTTTCAATATGTAACTGAAGGTCACTATGTTCTCTCTCCATCAAAGTGATTTCATCCCTCAGTTTAGAAACAATCTGGCAAGAGATAAGTACAATTATTATAATGGGTTTTCATATTCATAAAAATTCTATGTAACTACTGAAGCCGATCACTGTGGTACATATACTGAAGAAAAAATATATAAAAATATGCACAATGAAGACAAAAAAGAATTAACCTGTGGGGAGTGTTCAAGAGGTTTAGCATAAGCTTTCAGAACTTTCCACATCTAGAAGACTTGCCTTGGCATGACCGCTGCATTGCTTGAAATGTCACGTATAGTTTGGAAATAAAAACTAAGTTAGGGCATGAAATACAATGATTAATGATGATTTGTTGCAAGCCTATGAAGAAAAGGCTGAAAGGATCACTGCAAAAATATCATAGCAGGGTACTTTAAACTTTTTTAGATCTGGCAATTTAAAGATTGTTCAACAACAATTCGATTAGGCATTTTGGAAAGAGAAAATATGGCTGGACAGCCAGAAATAATGACAGCAGATACAAAACTTGCCCTACGACCTGATGCAAAAGAGCTCCAACATTATCACATTAGAGATTTTGTAAATCAAAGAGAAGGCCCAATTAAAACATATTTTAATGGGTGCCCACAGAATGTTTCATTTTCTACCTGTATAGCTGTAACAAAGATACCACATACTGTATCTTCAAACATGTGCATCACAAAGATTATAGAACTACCTGAGCAAGGATTATTCATGACTCCATATCATACAAAGCAAAAATGCTTTTGATAGTGTGTGTGAAAATATAGGCACAGCTCATCTAGACCCTGGTACTATTTTGTCCATTGTTTTCAAAGTCAGCCAAAATCACAGAACAAAAGAAGCAGACAAGAATGCAGGTGAGCACGGTGCTACACGACGAGGACCACCGTCTGTAATGCTCTGATTTAGCAGTCTTGAAAATCCAAAAACCTATTCCATATGTTTCCAGCTGAGAAAAGGGACCACATTTCAATAGTACATAAATTTTGCATGAAGGACATTCCAGGCTCAATCTCTGGCACTTCAATTAAAGGAGTTTACCACTGGGAAAAATCTTTGACTTGAAAAATACCTGGAAGTCAGAACTTATATTGGACCAGAGATACCAATGGCCAGGTTCAGACTCAAACAGCTTGGAATTGTTACTTCAAAATCCAATGTGCTCTTCATTAGCTGCTAATTTATATAAGTAAAAAGTGTTACTGGTTAAACACAGGTAGTGAGCAACATTATATATTATTAACCTGTTTTTCACCTTTATATTTTAAATGTACTAAATATTTTAAATAAACTAAAAAAGGAACCCCTAACTTCCAAAAGCTATGTTCTTCCAACAATAGGTGAACATTACTCATTAGGAGGAAGTCCTCTGTCTGCCCTGTTTTCATCAAAAGGTGAAAAGCAATAACAATGGTCCTCTATTTTTTCAATACAATAATGTTCCTTCCAAGGTTTGAGCCATCTACGTACAAGTAAATTACACAATTCTACAAAACTACTGATACACAATCAATGGCCAATGGGAAGAATAGACAACTTCCAGTTCATTCAGGAGTGAAACCTCTCTCCAGCTCAGCTGCACCAACTACTACTTTAAATTCAATCTTCTCACATATACGAATAAGAAAGTCACCCACCTTTTTGTCAGGTTTTGGTGAACTGCAGAGAGAACTCAGAGTTTGTTTCTTATATTCAAGTTTGTCATTTAATTGGCGTAGCTTATTTACCGCATAACTGGCCTGTTCATTAATACCCGAGCTTCCTTCATCAATGACTTCTTCACAAACTTGGTTCTAAGAAATATGTATTAGTTATTAAGCACTACATATAAATAAAAACTGTAACTGTACTACAGAATTGCTTGCTTGTTCTACACTACATACAGCAAGAGTAAGCATTCTATAGTGATTAGAAGTGTCAGACTGGGTTGAGAGGGTTGGTTTTACCCTAGAAGCTCAAGAGCCTGATCTTTGGCCAGTTACTATCCCAAAGCCAAACTTACATCATCATATGATGCACAGAAGCCAGAATATGGTAAAAGAGATGCTTAAGCTCTTTGGAGAAAGGACAAAAAAATTTACAAGAAATAAAGAAATCCAAGCAAGGTTTTCTGAAGGAGTTTTCAGAAAGTATTCTGTATCTCTAGAACACATGCTACTCAGCCAGGGTATTGTAAAAGATGTTCTCTAAAGTTTGCTCACTGCCAGTGCAATTTATACTTGTTTAAATAAGGTGTTTTTATTCTAGTAGTCATATAACTACTGAGCAATTTTTTAATTAATAATGGAAAAATATTTCTGCTCAGAAATAGCCACGACATAAAAAGAAACAATTTTCCAGTAGCATTAAAGCTACTGGAGCACATGATAGGATAATAGACATAGAAAATGTGTACATAATTCCCCAACCCAAAAGTAAATGTTTCCCCAATATTTGCATGCTCCACCCTTTTTTTCCATTAAGTTTTTCACTGATTTTCACTGCTAAACATGAACATTTGGGCGATAGCTAAAGTTTAACCAAGGCATCATAAAAGTTATGCTGAAGCATCTAGTTTTGCCTCCAAAAGGTTCAAGTAAGTTAAAGAATGTATAATGAGCAGAACACAATTAATATATATTCGGATGGATAACAACCAAAATGTTTTAAGATTTATTCATATATGTTTACAGAACCGAGATTCACAAACAAATGAGAAGCTACTAAAACAGGTCCTTGGGGTGAGTTTCTCTGCAGCTAAATGACCTTTGTGAGAGATTCACTTACAGAAAGGCGAAGAAATTATTTTAAACCAACACAACAGAAGTTCAGGTTGAACATATATGCCACACATTTTGCAAGCTATAAATAAGTCTAAGAGGCCATTGGTATCATTAAAAAATAGAGGCAAGGGAACTATGAAAACAATTACAAGAGCACGGGCACCTCTATACACTGAGTACGGAGGGGGTTAGACACAATGACCATATGGCTCCTTCCAACTTCATGATTCTATATGCTTCAGGGGGAGTGGGCGTGGGGATGGCAGAATGGATGGCCAAATCAAAAACAAAATGTTTGGCTAGAAATTCAGATCCAGAGGGCACTTGTGGTTTACGGGTGTGTGTTTTATGTGCTGTTAAGTCACTTCCCACTGATGAGGATCCTAATAGGGTTTTCAAGGTATGCAACCATTTAAGGAGTAGTTACACAAGTGCCACCCCTCAATGAGTCACCATGGCTAAGAAGGAATTTGAATTGAGGTCTCCTCCTAGTCTGTCATTACACCACACTATAATATTAAATACTGTAGCCTTTTACACAGCACCACACTATAATATTAAATACTGTAGCCTTTTACACAGATTTGTACCTTTAAATGATCAAAACCAGGATTCACATACAAGGGATTCTTGAAAGGGACACATAATGGCTGATACCCTGTTTCTTAGCATAGCAAGTCACAAGTAGAATAGGCCCATTGAATCAATGGAACTTACACAACAATTGACTCACCAAACCCATACTAATTCCATGAGGCTACTCTAACTGCAACGTACTATGCTAAGCAACAGCATTTCAGCTCATATTCCCAAAACTCAATTTAATAATTATAACATTACAAGGGAAAAGATATGAAAAATGTTTAACCAGCAAATATACAGTGGTGCCTCGCTTAATGATTTTAATTGGTTCCAAAAAATTCATCGCTATGGGAAAACATCGCTAAGCGAAACGCGTTTTCTCATAGAGATGCATTGAAAACCAGATAATCCGTTCCAATGGGAACGGATTGCCATCCTTAAGCGAAAATCGCCATAGAAAACATTGGTAAGCGAAACGCGGTTCCCCCTATTGGAATTTCAATGGGGGAGAAAAAAATCACCAAAAATTCAAAAAGAGTCAAAACGAAGCCAAATTTGGTTAACAAAGGGTTTATTAAGTGCACTAATGATTTTAAGCACTCTAAACCCTTTTAAAACAATTTAACACCTTTTAAAAATAGCGAAAACGGAGCTGTCAAAAACATTGCTAAGCAAAACAGGGGGACCTAAACGGTCATCGCTAAGCAAAGCAAGGTCCTGAACATTGCTATGTGAAATTCCCCCATTGGAAACATCGCTAAACAGCATTCAAGATCGCTACAAAAACCTCATCGCTAAGCGAATACATCGTTAAACGAGGCAATTGCTAAGCGAGGCACCACTGTAGTAAGATTTCCTTCCATGAATACACTGAAGTGCTTGTACTAATGGGATGGTATATAAACTGAATAAATAAATAAATAAATAAATAAATAAATAAATAAATAAATAAATAAATAATAAATAACATTCCAGCAACCCAGAAGACATAACTCACCACTTCATCTTTGTCATCAGATGCCATCTGGGCAGAACCACTCTCTTCTTCCTTCTTTATCAATCTCTCATATAAATCACTGACAATGAATGATGGGTAGTACCTGTCCTTCAGTGTTTCATAAACATCAGTCTGGATTTTGTAAAACACTTCAATACCTTTGTTGCCCACAAGACTTTGCTGTATTTCTTTATAGAGTGGTTTCTCTACAGGAATTAATTTGCTTTCGACAAAAAAATCCTGATAGATCTGACTCACAAGTTGAGGTATTTCAGCCTGTGAAACACATATACACAAAAACACACAAGAAACAAACTTTACTTTACTTTACTTTAATTAGATTTATACCCCGCCCCTCTAGACCAGGTCTACTCAGGGCGGGGTATAAGACAATATAATAAAGAACAATGCATATAAATATGTGTTTGATTATTTTAACTGAGCCCAAAAAACCCAGAACAACTATTTTAACTGAGTTTGCTGAAAGACATTCCGTTTTAAATACCCGTTAAGCGTGCAGCCAATGCGATGCAATAGATAGTAGGCTGAATTGAAGAATCCTTTGTTCCCAACCCTTATTCAGCTATTCAAGCTCACTAAGTGACCTTGGAGCCATTTTCTCTCAGCTTAACCTGCCTCAAAAACTTTTTATAAAAACCAGAGCTTGGCAAAACTCCTTATTGGACAACAATGCCCCAGATTCCCTGAACTAGGGAGAACAAGGAGGAGAAAATGTGTACCTCTCCCTGCATTAAAAATGCTTCCCATTTGTTTTTCTCTTTGGTATGTTTGTGTGTTCTGTGTCAAGTCAGAACCAACTGGCAGGAGGAAGTCTGATGAGTTTCCCCGAGGCAGAAAAGGCAGTATTTATGGCCATCTGAGAGAGAGAGATCTTATTGAAGCACTTGATGCACTTCTGAAATGGGGGAGGCTTCTTTGCCATAAATGGTGTGAAGGGAAAGAAAACGAGGGGAAAACAGGTAGGGGTAGGGGGGGTAGATATAGTCTCTTACTTTAACGATGAGAACAGAAATGTCCTAAGATTTTTTTTTGTTCTTTTACAGGAATCGTGACGGCGAAAGAGGAGCAGCTCTAAGAGGAGACCTCATGCAGCTGCGGTAAAAAAGAACTGAGGTGCCTGGAGGGCGGGCGGACCTCATGGATGGGAAAGGGGTGGTCCTACGTAGATTAGCATAAAGCTCTGGAATATTCCGGAGATCTCTGCGCAGGAGCAGAGTTAACCCATTAGTGGGCATTCACAGAGACCACGACAAAGATCTGGTATACATCTAGAAAACAAACCTCCTAGCGATGTCCTGCATTAGAAAATGTATTTGTGCATTTTTTAAAAAGCAAATTGCATAACAAAACCATTTTAAATAGGTGGATGCATTTCATTCACTCTACGCAGGATGAATGGGAAAAAAGATATCCTAGAGGCAACACATGACAAAGTTTAAGGATAACATAAATATCTCTTAGGGACTTCTCTTGTAGTTTAGTGTTGAATTGCAGCCAGAAACAAATACTATTTCCATGCAGAATTAAAACTACTGATCTGGCTTCACCTTAAAATGACTTCTTTCCTATATGAACACTGGAAAAAATACCTTTAATCAGATTACATAGTGTTACCATTTGCATTTTCAATATCCCATTTGCTCTGCGTATTTCAAAGAAGAGCAAATTCAATTTGAAATATGACCCAACATTATCATGCTAGAGCAAATGTTTCATCTAATGAAAAATCTAGAAAATTTGACACTAAAGCTAATGCAAACTGTGACACCAATTTTAAAAAAAGCAATGCATTTTAACAATGAATTATTCTGATGCAGCATGGATTTATAAGTAGGACACTGCCATAAAACCCAAGAGACTTCCAAAACTAAGGTTTGGCATATTTCTATCTATGTGTACCTTGCTAGCATTCTTCAAGTATTCCACAGATTCCCAGTAGCTGATCAGAACCCTCTTATCCATTCTTTCCATATACATTCTGAAGTGCTCTCTGTAGGATGGGTTGGCCAAAATATCTTCAAACTGAAGAATCTGGAGGAGGTGTTAAAATTACATAATTTACTATTTGCAATGTTGATAATTTAATTCACTAATTGCAACCTTTGTTAAATTTAATAAGCTTAGAAAACAGTTTTTGTTTGTTTGTTTGTTTTTGGCAAACTGGCTTAAGGAAGAAAAATCAGCACAGACCCAATTCACATTCTGGATATATACGTGTGTTTTCTTTAAAAAAAAATCCACAGATATGTCAGCCCCCTCAGTCTCAAGATTTATATTGAAAAGAGTCCATGGTTCTGGAGATGGTAACTGTAGTCCACAAAAACCAATAGGGCGCATAAGAATGAGTTCATGTGCATTGTAGCAGGTAGCTCCCTTGTTCTGTGCTGAAGGCTGTTTTTGCTATTTGTCCCAATTTCAGTAAAAGTGTCCAGTAATATGAAGGAGGGGTACAGAGAAAGTGGAAATATGATTATTGGACTGTAACTCCCATAATCATCATTATTCTGTTTGGGATCATAGGCTGAAATCTTGCTTAGTTGCACTAGAATAGGCCTACTGATTCTGTGGGGATATGATGAATCAATTCCTCTGTAAGTTCTGCTAAGAATTACTACACCAACTTACTGCACCAAAGTAAACTGCAATTAGAGCAGCCCCATTTAAACCATCAGAACTTACAGAGGAGCTGACTCAGCAAATCCTCACTGATTCACTGGGCCTAATCCAGCATGATTTACTACACTAAACTCAGAACAGCACCAAACGTCCTTCTAGTCAACAACATTTCCTTGGCATACTTCTTCCCACTGCCGATTCTGATTTGGCTCTTGGGTACTCAAGCCATCCTTGAGGAAGCTGGCCATGGGGCAATTATAACTATGCTTACACTTAGGTCCAGTGAGTTCAGTATCTACAGCATTAAGCAGCTTATACATTTCCTGGACGTATATCTATCCTTTCATTCAAGTATGCAGACAAGAAAGATTCTAATCTACTGTTACGCTGTAATATGAGCACTCATAGGCACTTGCTGTACTATAAAAACAATGTACGTTATTCTTTTGCAGGCTATGAGGAAGAACTCAGAAGCAACTTACTGGCAGTAGAGCAGTGCTTCCCTACCTTTTTTTCATTTGCATACTTATTCCTTCTACTAATAATTATACTGTCATGCAACCAGAGAGCCAAATCTATTTGGTGATATCACCATAAATAAAAACTCACCTTAAAAATGGAATTAAAAAACTAGCCATGGTGCTGTAACTCTCTAAGGCTATGGAGAACTCCTTCTGGAACATAACCGTATAATTGAAAAATGAGTGTAGGGATAGGCACTGCAGGAGAAGCCGCATAAATGCACAGGGGGGGGGCAGGAGACGGCTGCTCCTGAATATGCATCTCAGCATGCTCCCAGTGCAAGAATTTCAACTCCTTTCACAATTGCCCAAATCATCAAAGAGAGGGGAGGACATTTCAAGGGCAGGGGAGTGTTCATGAAATGCACTCTACCCCATTTAATCTGTAATTTAGAGATGCCTAAAGATCCTTAAAAACGGTTTATAGCCTGTAGAGCTAATGAAAACCCATGGAGTTGTTTGTGCAATGTCTCAGTTTCAGAAGCTAAAACAGGAGGACAGGAGGTGTATGTAAAAAACAGAGCTGTGACTTTCAGTCACTTTGCAAATTCTCGTTTCACCTCTGACAACTTTTATAACTTCATTCCTGGCACTCCAGCTCATGTAAAGTGTAGGCATCCTTCAGTCTTGAGAGACTATGGTAATGTGCTCTGTATGGAAGACTTGGAACAGTGTCTAGTGTGGCTGAGAAGGCCAATTATGCCCATATATGCCACTCTTCCTTTTCTTCTCTTTTCCTCTACAACCAGACCATTCTTATATTTTTAACAACATAACTCTATTTTTTTGAACTGGATTTTCACACTAAGCCTATATAGTGGTACCTCGCTAGATGATGACCCCGCTAAACGACAAATCCGTATAACCCTGACGATTTGCGACTGCTATAGCAATTCGCAAAACAGTGGTCTCAATGGGCAATTTTCGCTGGACGTTGATTTGGTCCATGCTCCGTGGACCGTTTGTTCGCAAGACGATGGTTTCTACAGCTGATCGTCGGCTTTGGAAAATGGCTGCCCTGTGTTTTCCGGACCCATGCTTTGCAGGACAGTCATTTTTACAGCTAATCGGTGCTCGCAAAATGGCTTTCTTATGGGCGATCCTCACTGGACGATGAGGTATTTTCCCCATTGGAACGCATTAAATGGGTTTCAATGGGGAAACTGTTTTCGCTAGACGATGATTTCATTACATAGTGATTTTCACATAACGAATTATCAGCGTCACGCGGGGCACCACTGTACATACAAGATTGCTAATTATCAACAACTTCCTCCTGATACAGAAGGAAGTATTAAGGTTCTTTTCCCCCTAAACTATTGCCTACTAAACCAGCTTAAATAAAACTAAGTTCACTACTATACATTAATCCACTTGTTTAAATAGTTCAGTCACTCTAATTTAAATTAGATGCTCCTAAATCCATAGAGGGGAAAAGCCAAAGCCAAAGGCATGTAACTAATGCCACAGATGCACCCATAGAACAAAACGCAAATCTCACTACAAACCAATGAAACAGAGACTATCCCTGGGCCTATATGAATTCACTGCCTGAAAGGCATGTATCTCCCAATGTCTTCTCGCAATCTCATTCACAACAGAGAGAAAAAATTACTCTTTTGTGCCATCGAGTTGGAATGGACTTCTAACAACCCTAACAGGATTTTCAAAGAACATGAGAAATGTAAGGAATGGCTTTAACATTGCTACTTCTCTCCCAATGAATTCTGATGGCCACACAGGGATTCAAACCCAGGACTCAAGCTCTGGTTTTAGTCCATCACTATAACTACCTACTACATCACCCTGGGTGTTCTATCATTATCATAACAAAGGGATTTTTTTTCCTCACTAGAAAAAAAGTACATAATTGTACTGTAATCTCAACTGCATTCACTCAAAACCAAGGCTCACTGATATCAATGGAACTCAGAAAGAAATAGTTACTTGGAACGGCAGTGGTCACTGTGAACCTTTTAAAAACCTTACGCTGCTAAGTAGGCCTTTGAGAGCACATTGTCCTTGAACAAGGTTGAATGGTCACAGAAGGTCTTAGATGCTTCAGTACTGTCAATGTCCTGCATTAACCTAAAAGCAGACCGCTATACTAGGACATGTGCAAGAATCCTGTCACGTGAATGTCTACCAAGTAGTATACAGTTGAGCAGATCTAATTTTAGAGCTTGTCCATAGCTACTGCATCCCTTTAAGCTTTCTAAACCCAAGCAGCTTCAAACATGAGGATGAACATTAACTCTCTCACTATTTTTCCTTTGCCTTCTTCTAGCTACAAGCCACTCTAATTTATCCTAAATTTCTGTCCCACTTTTGCTTAAAATATAAAGCTGCATAATAATTCAACAAAATAAATTTTAAACAACTTACTCATACAATGAGCCTCCAAGGCAGAAATAGCAACATCTAAAATAATTAAAGCAACAAAGGCAAATGGGAACAAAATAATTTTAATTTCCCTACCATAAAAACTTGTGTCTATGCCAATGCCACACCTATTGGAAACTGGCTTAATGCTAGTTATAAAGGTGGAGCATGGCTTCTACTGATGTGACCACAGACTTCTAGAGCTGCTGAACATCATGAAAAAGGCATGCAACGCCACAATGCAGCATCAGAAATGACTCTTAGGGGCATGACATAAGCATGGTTGCCAAATTATTTGCAGCAAGAGCTCTCTCACTCATCTGCGCGCGCACACACACACACACTCTCTCTCTCTCTCTCTCTCTCTCTCTCTCTCTCTCTTACCTTTTCTCTCTCTCTCTCTCTCTCTCTCTTACCTTCTGACTTTGAGGGCCATCACTGTCCTCAAAGATACCTTCTTCTGACTGGTCATAAGCAGGACCCCCAAGAAGTCGGATTCTCTTTTCACACTGTTTTTTGGCAACTGTTAGCTGATTTATATACCTCTTCATGTTTCGGGCCCTCAGATGGTCAGCTTTCATTGCAGCTGTTTCTTTAGCTTTACTCTCTATGACAAACAGTTTTTAAAGGTTTAGCTTTCTTTATTTAAAAAAAATAGTTAATACACAGTGAATGATTTATTTTGCTGTCTTAGTTTATTTAGCTTGCCTGCCTGGTTTTATTTAGCTGTGCCAGCCTCTAAAGAAATGTTTGCACTTACTACACTATGCTGAATTCTAAAATGCCTCACAACACTAAATGTACACAGAAGATAATAAAACAGATCACCTAAAAAAGAGACGTGATGTCATAGTTCTAGATCACTGGTTAACCATGTACACAATTTGTATTTTTGTTTTGTCTCTTTTCTTTAACTTTAGAGCTACAAAAATAGATGAAACAATATGAATTGTGAAGGCTCTCTAGTTAACGTTTTTGAAGCTAGTCACCTTTGTATTTATTCTGGCAACTTATCTGTCAAAACAGTTTATATGTTGCAGGCATCATGAAACCAAGTCAACCATATTTGTACCCATATAGGTTTCCTGCAATTTTTATGCTGAAAGAAAGGTTAATACACTTTCTATGATCACTAATCTCTCCACAATTGACACTTTTCTTTATTTCTTTAAAATGAAGTGTGTTTGCACACTTGTAAATCTGAGGGGAAAATGAAGAGAGAGCTTAGAAGGGACAATATGTTATTATCTCCTCCTATATGGAACACTGAAATAAACACTGTCCAATGCCCTCTACAAATAGAAAATGCTTTGATTGCCAACCATGTTTCCATAGCAACCATTCAAAACTGCTGAGGGCACTTACTAGAATCTTAGGCAAGTAAAAGCTCTCGACAACAGCAGTCTTCAAAGAGCAGACAAATAGCTTTCATAAACATAGTCAAATTTAATCATACTATACCAAACAAACAAACAAAAAAACCCAAAGATTAAACATGGCATGTGACAACATCAAAACAATTACCAAATTTGCAAACTGAAATTATCAATCTGAATTTTGAGTTCATTTTTAACAGTTGCAAGATAGGGTAACAGGCAAAAAGCAATAAAATGCAACAACTGTAGTCATCCGGATAAGCCCTTTCACAGACCCGGGGGACAAGACTGTATTCAAAACAGTTGCACAGACAAAGCGTTAAAACAACAAGTGATACACCCTTTTCAAAATAAAAGAGAATATGTTTATTTCCTTTTGGGAACCTTACACAATTCTCAAAACTGATCTGCAAAGCTGATGAGGATAGCACACCAAATTATTAACAGAACACACCATGGTTATATTGCCAAGACATTTCCTATTTCAAAGCCTTGGCTTTTCTCCAAATAGCTCAGTCACAGAATATAAATGTGTGGCCAAAATAAATTAGAACAAATAGATACAAGTCAGTTCTTCTTCTTCCTTAATAAAACATGAATGAATGCAAAACTCTAATTATAGAACCATCACTGAAATATTAATCAGTTTCCTTTTAATTCCTCAGATATCAAGCTCTGCTCAGACAATGGATGATACTTTTGATAAAATTACCACTATCTGCTAAGTTGGACTGGGTAAGTTACAAATATACAGTAAATTAAAGAAAAATCTACTTTACGACACAAGTGGTACATCATGGCACAGAAATCTCAAGCACTAGGACAGTACAAAATCAGGACACAGTGTTTATCCAGGCATTCAAACCATAACGTATTAGATATTGTGGCTAGGTACTCATATACCGTGTTTCCCCAAAAATAAGACAGGGTCTTATATTAATTTTTGCTCCAAAAATGCATTAGGGCTTATTTTCAGGGGATGTTTTATTTCTTTCATGTACAACAATCTACATTTATTCAAATATGGTCATGTGATCTTCTGGTTGCTGCACAATGGTGGAGGGCGGGGTTTCACTTGACTAGGGCTTATTTTGGGGGTAGGGCTTATAATACAAGCATCCTAAAAAAATCACACTAGGGCTGATTTTCGGGTTAGGTCTTATTTTTGGGAAACAGGGTAATGGCAGACACATGTTATGCTCCATAGGTTCTATTCTACCTGTGCCAATTAACAATTATTAGAGGTGTGATTCAGGTTTGGACAAATTCCAAATGAAATCAGGCTGAATTAAGAGGTATATGAGTCAAAGCAAGACCTGAAGCAGACTGAATACTCCACAGGCACAGTACTACACTGCAATTGCATCTAACAGAAAACAGTCATTAAAAAGAATATTCTATTTTCTATTATACTGAAAAGAAAATAATGCCATTTATGATAATAGCATCTGGCCAGGAAGGAAGTTAAGGGACCCTGGAGACACAATAAGTGCCAACAAGAGGTGTGATTTGCAAAAGGCGTACTTCCTAGCAATCATAATAAAACTCATTTTTTCAGGTCTCAGTTTCTGTTTCAAACACACACAAAACTGCTCTAGTCACACCTTTTTCTCTGGTAGAATCATTGCTGCATAATGAAACAGCATATCAGGTTCTAAAATTAGCATTTTCAATGAAAGGTAAAAAGGTAAAGGTAAAGGTTCCCCTTGACAATTTTTGTCCAGTCGTGTTCCACTCTAGGGGGCGGTGCTCATCCCCGTTTCCAAGCCATAGAGCCAGCGTTTTGTCCGAAGACAATCTTCCGTGGTCACATGGCCAGTGCGACTTAGACACGGAATGCTGTTACCTTCCCACCGAGGTGGTCCCTATTAATCTACTCGCATTTGCATCTTTTGAACCGCTAGGTTGGCGGGAGCTGGGACAAGCGACGGGAGCTCACCCCGTCGCGTGGATTTGATCTTATGACTGCTTGGTCTTCTGACCCTGCAGCACAGGCTTCTGCGGTTTAGCCCATAGCGCCACCACGTCCCTTTCAATGAAAGACCAAAAGGAAAAAAGAAAAAAGAAAAAAACACTGGCTAGCATTTTATTTCCAGCAAAGACAATACTCTTACGAAACAGAGACCATAAGCAGGAAAAAGTGGGGGAGAATAATCCAACAAGTAACAGAATGAAGAGAAGGGAAGGGAAGAGCTACATGGTACTATAAGCAACTGGGGTACCTCAACAGGACTGGAAGTAAAGAGGCAGCCTTTAGGCTCTTGGAAACTTTTTCTTTGTGTTTTCTTCTTAATGAGTTACATTTGGGACAAAGCTAAAACTCTACTTGACATTTCAGTAAGCCTTACTTTATTCCCACATTGCTTGGAAGAAATAGTGCTGTCACGTTCCCACCTGTCCCTTGGTTGTTTCTCCAAGCAAAGGCACGTACACTACGTGTCGTTCAGCTGCCACCAGTTGATTACACCAGCTTTATTCACTATTAATGACGGTGGTCCGGGCAACGTATCATTTAAGAACCAAGTAGAAATTGTTTATTTTTACAAATGATAAAAGTCCAGTCAATGTCGTTAACGCTCAACCTTCTTCCTCCACTCTCAGGCGCCTACTTTTTCTCCCCCTCTCTCTCTCCTTTTCTTTCCTCCACTTAACTCTGCCCCCACCAATTCCTATTGGTCCATGCAAATATCAACATAAATATTCATAAGCAGGGTGAACGCTACAGGTGTACTTCACAGAAGCCTGCTCTTGTCATTGTTCACTTTCAGTTGCCTCTTTGAATTAGAAGTGATCATATATTCCTTATGGAGCCCAAGAGCTATATGAAAAGAAGCATTTTTGCTATTTTGTTCTGATGGGCTGATGTAAAAACAATAGATTTTTTTTGTCAACTCAAGGTGGGGTTACACGTAAAAACACACACACCAATATTTGAATTGCATTGAGCAGGTCTGGAATTGATTTAAAAATACCTGTATCTATTTACATGATGTACAGCTCAGCACACTTTTTTTGCTGGGAAGTGTGGGCTTTTTTCTATGGATTCAAGGTAAAACAGCCTCCAGGGGTTTTGTTTATTTTGAGTCATCTGTGAAATCAATTCTTTTTGAAGCATTTCAACATATGCAAATACCTTTTTCGGAGTAAATTGTTTCTGCGGCATTTGTCAAGTAACAGATGCCAGGATCACAGGTTTTGGGCTGCAGGAAACATTGCAACTGGATCAGTTTTATTTTTTTCCCCCTCTGTAATACTGACATAGCAATATATCACTCTGAAAGAAATTTTTAAAAGGCAGCCAGCATGACAGGGAAAACGCTCCCTCTGTCACAAGCCTAGAAGCTGCTGGTCTTTGTCAATGACTCTGGTCAATTTTTCTTGCCTTCACTACTGCCAGTGCTGGCTTCTGATTCCCTCTGGCACTCAGATTAACTGTAGTGAAGGTTAACCAGAAAGATTATTCCTATTATTTGAAAATAATGCTGTTTGAAAATTCCTATTGAGAAGGAACCTAAATTAGTTTAACTGCAGTAAACGATGGTGACAGGGAGGGAAAAATTGATTTTCTAACATGGGAGCAGAAGTCTCTCTCTCTCTCTCTCTCTCTCTCTCTCTCTCTCTCTCTCTCTCTCTCTCTCTCTCTCTCTCTCTCTCTCTCTCTCTCTCTCTCTCTCTCTCTCTCTCTGTGTGTGTGTGTGTGTGTGTGTGTGTGCGTGCGCGTGTGTGCGTGTAAGTATACCACCCCATAGTCCTTCCTTATTTCTAAACCACAGTTATACTTGCATTGGCTCTATATTGGTTAATCAACGGAAATCATATCCCATTACTTTCAGATAAATTGCCTTTCTGAAAAATAAATGTTGGCCTTGCTAGTGTTTTGGATTATTTTAACAGATCAAAACAAATAAACATGAGTAACCCCCTCCCCATTGTTCAATTTTTTTTATTTTAGTAACACAAGTTACAACAATTAAAAAACAATACTATATATTTTTATTTCTACACATAGTGTATAACTACAAAACTTCTAGTAATACCAGTATTTATTGGTTATATTTATACGTACATTTCTTCCATATGCAATACTATACATAGAATTTTACTTGTACCCTTATTATTGATAAGAAATGCACATCCCCTTAAATAATACAAAACCAAAGGCTACCAATTATTTAATAACAAAGATTATGCTCATGTAAAATACTCTGAAAAATTCCTTCACCACCCACAC